GATGTACTCAGAGTGATTTGGTGTGAAATGGTTCAGATGTCTTTACAGTGGTGGTGATAGGAACCAGGGGTCGCCATGATTACAACACAAATATAGACATTTTATTTACTATCCAGAACCACCAGTGAACCTACACGAGTCTTCTGGGTTTATATGGAATGATGATGATGGAAAATAGTGGAAAATCTGAAATAATAAGTTTTCTTTGGGGACTATTTTGCCTCACAGCGCCCTGCATGTATCCCTCCACCATGAATGGAGTTTAAGTTCTCTAAACTATCATAAAACAGTGTCTCAGTCATCAGGCAGTGAATTCATAACCATTTCATGTAGGAACTTTCTGTGAGGGAGCTTTTAGAGGTGGACGTCTGGTTCCTATCACCACCACTGTGAACAGTTCTGACTCGGTCAGTTTCTCTAGAACCGAGCGTTTCACACCAAACCACTCTGAACGAACTTTACTGTTTAATTATGCAGGACTTTTGGGAATTATGGATCTCCCTATTAAAGAAACCTAACCAGCTGCATGGGTCATCAGACAGATAGACAGTGATGTGAGTAAAACACATAATAAAAGTCACTGTATTTACAGTTTTATAATATTATTGTTTTTAAATGTTGCACTAAGATATTTTCCCATCTCTTCTCACTCACAAAACCTCAGAAAAAATTTATATACCGTAAAGTGTGCTGTATATTGTGATGTTATGGTTTTGCTATTCACCCCTAGTCTGAGATGATGACATTCTGAACGATTGCCCACTTTATTTATGTATGTATGTATGTATGGGTGCATAATGTTGTTGCAAGTATTTTATTTATGCAATGAACCTTCAGAGCCTCCATATTTTCATACTTTAATTCACAACCAAATGTTTATTTTCTATTTTGGTAAAAAACGGGACTGCACCAAAAAAACTGAGTTTAGTGATCAGTTCAGTGACCTAAACTCTCTTTCTAGCCTCCTGGTTTCTTCAGTTTGACAAGCATATTCAGATGTGTGCTCAGAACTGTAAGAACATACAGACCAAAGGACATTTAACACCTCAGGCATGATCATTAATGGGTTCATATCTGGCAACCAGCCTCGCCGGCCTTTGTATTCACTCTGTCGGAATTCAGTTTCTAAACAAACACTGAAGAAATAAGAACACATGGAGCCAAAGCAGCAGGCAGACCTTCTTCATTCAGACGACAGCAGTGCGGATATGCCAGAGCTGCGACTTCCGGAACCCCCCGCCACATCCTGCACCCCCCGTCTTTCTGCTGCAACCTCACTGGATGAGGAACCACAAGTTTTAAACCAGATATGATGAGCCTGACTTTAAATGTTGTTTTGGTTACTTAAATTGACCATTAAAACAGGGCTGAGTTATAAGACAATATACATTGTTATTATTATTATTATTATTATTATTATAACCAAGAGTTCTATACTGAACCATTTCATGACAACTGAAAAAAATCACTGGTGCTCCCTGTCCACCTGCAGGACCTGTTCTTTCTCCTGGAACCAACCTTTTCCTTGTATCAGTGATATTTTACCGTCTAGTTTTGTGGAAACTTTGATTTCTGAACCCTTATTTTAGTAAAGTTGGTCAGTTACTGAGTTTTGGCTAAGCTAAAGTTAGCTTTTACTAACAACAAACGTAAATTAGACTGTTTAGCCAATCTGTGTGCAACAGATGTACATACATTTACACATACATGACATTTTAAGCCTTAACCAGCTAAAAGCATGCCGTTTAAGTGGCGTTTCCACGGCTAGTAACGGGGGTAGAGACTTTTATTTTGAAAACGGATCATGAACACACTGTGCCAGCTAACCCCGAGAGACAGTGTCTTTGGAATGATGTAAAATACGTGCTTTATTTTCTGAAACGCGGTTTAGACGAATCTTTTGAAGCATCTCAGTTACGAAGCTGAAAGCGGCTTCATATCGGAGCTTTCCGTTCCACCTTAAATGGTGCAGCAGTTACACTGTCCCGCCTGAGGCGCCAGAATGTAACCGCTTCACCATTTAAGGTGGAACGGAAAGTTCCGAGGCGAATTGTAGGTTGATCAGCTAAACTCACACACACGCGCTTATCTTCACAGTACAGGGGTCCTGTTCTCTCCTTCAACCTCCTTTACAACCAGGCGAACCATCCAGGCTCCTAAATGGGGGTGTAGGATCTTGCCCCCCAAAAAAACACGTGGCAACCACCAAACACCACGTGGCAACCACAACTCCCGCCAAACCTCACCAAACTCCACCTGAACGGGTCAATATTTATGACTGACCCCTAACGCCCATGCAGAGGGCCCAGTCAGGGGCAGGTGAGCTCACCTGTACAGCGCAGGTGGAGCTCAGAGCGCGGGAGGAATGGGGAAGGAAGGAAGCGCGCGCACAGCTGCCCGTTTCTTTCTGAAGCGGCTCAAAGAGAAACCGGAACCCGGAGAGGGTTAAAACTCACCGCGGAGCTGCTGCACTTCTATCCCGGGTCCCGAGGAGGCGTCCACTCCCTCTCTGAGGAGGCACGGCCGCAGCAGACGGGTCTCCGGTGAGCTGGACCCGAGGAGCGGCTCTCTGAGCGTGGTGGGTCTCACAGCTCTCACTACACTTCCAGCTCCAGAGCTCCTCCCTCTGCTCATATCACCACCACCACATTACACTGTCACACCCTCCTCCATACCTCCCACTTCAGCACTGCTTTCAAAGGGGAACCCACCCATCTTCCAAAATTCCCCCTAAATCAGTGGTTAAGATGTAAACAGAGCGGTTTGGTTTCTAGATAAACTTACCGAGTCAGAACTGTTCACAGTGGTGGTGATAGGAACCAGACGTCCACCTCTAAAAGCTCCTCACAGAAAGTTCCTACATGAAATGGTTATGAATTCACTGCCTGATGACTGAGACACTGTTTTATGATAGTTTAGAGAACTTAAACTCCATTCATGGTGGAGGGATACATGCAGGGCGCTGTGAGGCAAAATAGTCCCCAAAGAAAACTTATTTCAGATTTTCCAGTTTTACCAGCTGTGTGTGTGTGTGGGCTTCACTGAGCTGCCCCTTTAAAACTACACCTCACTGTTTCTACGACGCGCCGCTGTGTTGTCACTCTCCACGCGCCGCTGATGCAATCTCCCACAGTGTTACTTGAAGCGCGCGCGCGCGCACACACACACCCACACACACACACACACACACACACGCACACGTCCGACCGCGACCTCTGCAACAGGGCATAGCGCGCGCTCCTGTTCAGCTCCTTGGTGTTTTAAATGGATTTAAACCAGGTGCACGCGCACCGTCCGGATTATAATCCGTCGTTATTGTATTCAGTAAACAAGTTCTATTGCGCTCCTATAAACTGTAATCAATAATCCGTCTTTATACAGAAACTCGCAGCTGTTTCAGTTCGTTTCTCCAGCCTTTAGCTGGAATTCTCCGTTCCACCTTAAATGGGGCAGCAGTTCCATTGTGGCGCCTCAGGCGGTATAATAATAATAATAATAATAATAATGACAACTGCTCCATTTAAGGTGGAACGGAGAATTCCAGTATGAAGCAGTGTTTCTCTCACAGAAACCCTGTAACTCTGCAGTAAACAGGTACTGTCCTTAAGGGGTCTCCCCCAGACCCCCAATAAAGACATACCCCCGGGGAAATACAGCGCATGCGCGTGTGTGTATCCGTATAAATAATTGAACGTACCTTTTTATCAGGAGTACAGATACGGCTCCCACTTTCCTTATACCTCTCTCTCCCTCTCTCTCCCTATCCCCCTCTCTCTCTCTTCTCTCTCTCTCTCTCTCTCTCTCTCTCTCCCTCTCTTACTCTCCCTCACCCTCTCTCCCTCTCCCTCTCTCTCTCCCTCTCTCCCTTCTCTCTCCCTCTCTCCCTCTCTCCCTCTCTCTCTCTCTCTCTCTCTCTCTCTCTCTCTCCCCCTCTCCCTCTCTCCCTTCTCTCTCTCCCCCTCTCTCTCTCTCCTCTCTCTCTCTCTCTCTCTCTCTCTCTCCCCCTCCTCTCTCTCTCTCTCTCTACCACTCCAACTTCACCTCCGCACGTTCTGCCACGTTGAATTCTCCCACGGGTCCAACTGTAAATCAGACAGTCAAGCCCCGCCCACCGTTTGTGTCTGATGTGGAGGGGAGCCCTGTGGCGCCCTCTGCTGGACAGCTTCACAGTATCCTCGCTCGCCATTCATTTCTCCACAGGGACCTCCTTCTTTTATTAGGTAATGAATTAAAATCACTCATTCGCTAATTTTATATGTGTGTGTTCAACATTGTGTTAGTGGTGAGTCACTGAGACCATAGACCTCTCTTACAGTGGGTCCTGACCGAGAAGGCAGCACGGAAAAGAGAGAAAAGCAACACGACCAAGGTTAAAAAAGTCAGTTAATAGCAAGAGAAAATATTTCAAGTGTTTCAAGTTTCAACATTAAAATAATAATAATAATAAAAATTATAAAATAAATGTAAAAAATGCTGGGTTTAAAAACAGCCCAGTTTGGGTCACATTCACAACCCACTATATAACAGAACACACACTGGGTTAATCTGACATACATACGAATATATGAATATGTGAATAACCCAGGCTGGGGTAATTGGAGTCACCCTAACAAATAAAGAGCTCATTAATAATAATAATAAACACTATTATTTAAAAAATGAGCTGATGGTCAGAATCAGTTTTATTGGCCAAGTATTTTGACACACAAGGGAAAAACTATACACACTATAAACAGTGTACAATCAATATTCACACTATATATGGATCATGATATACAGACAATGTACATATTATTTAGACAACACACAATACGCACAATACATGCTGTGTTTTATGTTAAAGAATATTGCACTTGTAAGAAACTTGTTTCCATTAAATGGCTTTAACTCTGGATTATGAAAGGATCATTGGAGTTACCTGCTTTTGCCAAACTCTTTTATTAGGTGGACCGCCGGCGATGGACTGAGGGACCAGCCTGATGTTATCTTCTTTTAAGCTGGCTTTGTATTCACCAGCTTCTTATTCCTCTTTTCCGTTCCACCTTAAGTAATTCAGTGTTTACCTTTATGGTGTGCCGCTGCCAGGCTGTCACTGCAGCACCTTTTAAGGTGGAACGGAAAAGTCGAACGAGAAGGAGCAAATTATTTTATTTGTTTACAGTTGTTTCTAATCATTGTTTATTGAGACCCAAATTCTGTGAGCAGAGTTTCTCACCCATATGAAAAAAAATCCAAATGTGTTTATCAAATATGTTTTTGCAAAGTATGAAAATGGCCAAAAATGTATGTGTTAAATATATTTTTAAATGAATGTATTTGTACTACTTATGTTTTTTTCTTTCAGTTGTATGTAGCTTTGACAAAGTGAACCCATATAACTTTATATACCCATGAGCTGAATGGACAGCACTGACTTCTGTGACCTGCACTGTACACATACACTTAAAAATAAATGTGTTTTAAAATATATTTGGTTGATATGGCAAAATATGCTGAAATACATTTTAGTGTTTGGAATGCTTTTCAGCATCGACTGCAGTGTCTTTGAAGTGTATTTCAAATGTGAACTGATAGCCAGATAACTAATGTTAGCTATTGTGCAAGGAAACGTTATCAGCATCGATGATAAGTGATAGTCCTCTCAGCCAATCAGCGCTGGCGCTGGATGTACATCGAATGAAATTTTCCCTCCTTTTTAATTTAGTTTAACACAGTAATGTAGAGCTCCAGTGAAAATACAATGATAAACACGACAAACAAATTCCTCAAATTATAACTATGACAAATTCTTCACCCAATAAAACAGACAGGTTTGAAACCACAGGCTGCTGAAACAGAACTGGATCCTAATAGAAAACAGCATAAAAGATATATAATAAACTTGAGCATTTTTTCTTTACAGACACATTATTATGACTGTTTTGAAATTCTAAACTCACCTACATGGTTGCCTTGAATGGATAATATGGAAATCAGATGTTGCCATTATTGTATTGATAGAATTTCATTTTTTTATATATTGCAATGACAAAATAACATACATATTGCTTATTGTTATTATTATTATTATTATTATTATTGTTATTATTATTATTATTATTAGTAGTAGTAGTAGTAGTATAGAACTCAGAACCATTAGCTAACGGTGTTTCCACAGCTAGTGTTACAGAGGAGGCACAATAATACATCACACATCATCTGCATCAGTTTTCCAGTTTTGTTAAGATGTAATATAAAAAGCACTGGCCCAAGGATGGAGCCCTGTGGAACCCCATTAGCAGTTTCTGAAGATTGAGATTGTTTTCCCTGAGCAACAACACAGTGAGTTTTATTTATAAAACAAATCCAAACCAATTAAATGCCTGATGATCAAAGCCAGTAAAAGGCAAATTCTGTTGAAAATGTTGTTGCTGACACTGTGCTAGATGTACAAAGATCTACACTAATGTACAAAGGATAACAAAAAAAGAAATGAAGGAATTAGTCAATTGGACTGTAAGTGGAAAATGAATACAGTAGAGTCGTTATTGTCTTTATATTCAGGTACAATGAAATTTCATAAGGCATCTTTCCTCTACGCTCTCAGAAATAAAGGTGCTAAACTGTCACTGGGTCAGTTCCCCTCTTGTCACTGGGGTGGAACCCTCAAGGCTCCATCTCAGTACCTTTAGTCAGGGAACATAACTGAACCATAATCCACTGAAATGATATGTTCTAAGCTGTACTGACTCCACACACCCCGTCTCGTCTCCAGGCTTTTATTTTACTGTTCTGTTTAAAACATTCGGTTATGAAAAGGTACAAATACGAACTTTTCACCTGGAAACACTGATTTAAGGTTCACAATCAGACCTTAAAACCACTGTTGGAGCTTTGAAGAAACATTTACACTGTTTGTACCTTGATGAACGCAAAACGTACCTGAACAGAACCTTTATTTCTAACTGTGAAAAGGTCACAAAAAGCATGAATATTAAATTAAATAATAATAAATTACAATGCAGTAATGGCAGCAAACACCTAAAGTGACACTGTGCAAAACTATAAAAAAACCATCCAGGGGACATCCAGAAAATGCTGAGGAAAAAGCCAGTGCAACACCATAGCAACCAGCTGGGAATATGATAGCAACATCATAGTAACACTTTAGCAACCACCTGAGATATGACAGCAACAGCCTAGAAAAACCTTAGCAACCACCAGAGGTACCACAGCTATGACTGAGCAACACTGTAAAATAACTCTGGATACCACAGCAACAGCCTAGCAACACCCTGGCAACCTCCTAAGATCCATAGTAATGGCCTAGCAACACCTCAGTAACCACTTGGGACACAATAGCAACAGCCTAGCAACAGCTTAGCAACCACCTGGGATACTATAGCACATGTTCTAGCAATACCTTGGCAACCACCTGGGATACTGTAGCAATGGTCTAGCAACACCTTAGCAACCACCTGGGATACTATAGCAATGGTCTAGCAATACCTTAGCAACCACCTGGAATAGCATAGCAATGGCCTAATAACACCTTAACTATAGTTATTTATTGTATTTACCCTTTATGTATTTTGTTCTGTAGTTCAGAATTAAGTGTCCGTCTCATTTCCTCTGACCACTTCCACTGAGGACAGTCCATCCTGTGAGGGGTGCATTGTCTCTGAACAGTGAGACGACTTCTACTTCCTCATAGAGCCTTTCACTGAGTACAGCTGGACTACTGTTCATGCCTCGTTCTACATCAGCACCTTTCAAAAGAGATGAGCTGTTAAGCTCTGTTATTTTATATTTATTATACTATTGACGTTACAGTTTAATCATAGACTAGGCCTAATCTGTGTCCGGTAAACTGACTCCTGGTGTGATGTTGAACATGAACCCCACCAATGTTTACATATCAGTGTTACTGTAAGCAAAAGTTAACAACAGTGCGGAAATGAAAACTGCAATATTTAGGCAAAACATGCTTTTCACACCAAAGATCAGTGTTGACAATAAAAACAGTGAGGAGAAACAAAAATTCACACACTCCAGTTTTTGTTGATATCTACTACATACACAATGTGTTTAGACTGTGTATTTATACTTATGATGAAAAAAAGTATGTATTGATAAACACAAACAAAGATAGGTTTAAAAGCTACACTGATAATGGTAAATAGTACTCACACACTACATTTAATATACATATGTGTGAAGTATATTCTACAAGATGTTGGAGTGTGTGTGTGGGAATTTCTGCCCATTCATCCAGAAGAGCATTTGTGAGGTCAGACACTGATGCTGGACGAGAGGGTCTGGCTCACAATCTCCATTCTAGTTCATCCCAAAGGTGTTTGATGGGGTTGAGGTCAGGGCTCTGTGAGGGTCAGTCAAGTTCTTCCACACCAAACTCACCCAGCCAGGCCTTTATGGAGCTGCTTTGGTCACTGGAGCTCAGTCATGCTGGAACAGGAAAGGTTCTTCCCCAAACTGTTCCACAAAGTTGGAAGTGTACAATCGTCCAAAATGTCTTGGTGCTGGAGCATTAAGATTTTCCTTCACTGGAACTAAGGGTTCTAGACCAACCCCTGAAAAACAGCCCCATAGCTTCATCCCTCCTCCACCAAACTCTACAGCTGGCACAGTGCAGTCAGGCAGGTAACGTTCTCCTGGCATTCGCCAAACTCAGACACGTCCATCAGACTGACAGATAGAGAAGCTGATTCGTCACTCCAGAGAATACAGGTCCTCTGCTCCAGAGTCCAGTGGAGGCCCTTCACTCCACTCCATCCAAGGCTTGGCATTGTGCATTCTGATCTTAGGCTTGTGTGCAGCTGTTCAGCCATGGAGACCCATTTCATGAAGCTCTTGACACTCAGTTCTTTTGCTGGTGCTGCTTCCAGAGGCAGTTTGGAGCTCTGTAGTGATGATTCAACAGAGGATAGACTCTGTGCTCTTCAGCACTCGGTGGTCCCTCTCTGTGAGTTTGCGTGGTCTACCACTTCGTGGCTGAGCTGTTGTTACTCCTCGACACTTCCATTTCACAATAATAGCACTTACAGTTATCAGGGCAGATCTAGCAGGGCAGAAATTTCACAGACTGACTTGTGGCAGAGGAGGCATCCTGTGACAGAGCCATGTTTAAAGTCACTAAGCTCATTAGTGCAACTCTCTACTGCCAGTGTTTGTCTATGGAGACTGTAAGACTATGAGCTTAATTTTATCCACCTGTTAGTAATGGGTGTGGCTGAAACACCTGAACTCAATAATTAGGAGTGTCCCAATACTTTGTCCCAATACTTTTGTCTCTAAGCTGTAATTGCCAACAACAGCCTTCTAATGTCATTAATCCGTTTGTTGCCATATGAAGGCTAAATCAGAGAGCTGATACAGAGAGTTTCAGAGAGTTTTACAGTGATCTGGCTGTGTGTTTGTGCTGTATTTCTGGGTTGTGTGTGAATCCATTTTTAATCCTTTGTTATAATATATAGGCTAAAAGCAGAGGTATGCTATAACAGTAGCGAGTAGATTTTGGAGCTGGAGTGCTGGCTAATGGCTGGTCACAGCTTGAAGACGTCATGCTGGGTAGTTGGGGACGGGTCTGAAGAGTGTTCTGATCTGTGTATCACATCTGTAGCTTAAACTATTCTGAAGTGACGAAGGCTATGAGGCAACTATGCAAGTCGCTTTGCTTTGAGGTCAAGGAGTGAATTTGTGATGTTTGTGAGGAGTTAATTTGTTTATATTTTTATTTTGTTTAAATTATAACTTCAAAAGACATCATCGGTGTAACTGTGAAGCGGAACTTTATCACGTAACACAAACAAAGTGTCTGAACACTTGTTCCCTCAGCCAGGACCAGGTGACCATCGAACATCATTTGGAAAATGTCCTGCATCAAAACCCCACTCATCACCACGGCAACACGACAACAGTGTCATTCTCCCAACACCATCCCATAATGAGCTCTCATACCCTGCAGGACACGTTACACCTTTAATCTGCACATCTGTACCAGATACCTCATCACAGAGAGAGAGAGAGAGAGAGAGAGAGAGAGAGAATTTATGAAGCATTTTGCTGAAAGGAATTTGAAGCAGCCAGACAGGATGAGTGAGTGGGCGAGCGAGTGAGAGAGAGGTTCCTCAGTAGGTTGGTGTAATGTAATCGGTCACGCGCTGTAATTCTCTGTTGGTTCTGCGCTGTGTGTGTTCTCTGCTCTCAGCGGAGGGAGTGCGTTTGCGATGGGGGTCTCTCAGTACCGTCTGACCGTGAGTAGAACAGCAGCTCTGTCAGCTCTGATTAACCTCTCTCTCTCTCTCTCTCTCTCTCTCTCTCTCTCTCTCTCTCTCTCTGAGGGCCTGCCTCACTCTAACCTCTCTCACCCTTCTGTGTATGGTGTGTCTCCTTCACGGTGCTGAATGAAGTGTAATCTGCTTACTGTACACACACCTGACATAAACTTCTGACACTACACTACACAATGTCTCTCTCTCTCTCTCTCTCTCTCTCTCTCTCTCTCAGGAAAAGTTTGGCAGAACTCTAATTTACTGTTTCCCTCAAATGTAATGAATCAGACAAGTTTCTTAATTAGCTTTCAGGCTGGTATCTATAAAAATGCACGAAAATACAAATACAAGTCCGTCAAAAAGTATTTCAGTCCATGTTTATAGATGACAGTCATACAGTGTCAGAAACCACATAATCAAGACTATCACAGATAAAACTAAAGAACCAAATTTCACACAGCAAACATGTCTTGGATGATTGACTACATTTGAGGATAGAGGCCAGGAATTGGCTAAATTAGATGTTTTGTCAAACGATTCTTTAATTCTTTTCACTAAAGTTGCATACCTGGTAAACTTGAATTGACATAAAAAGGACTAAAAGTACAAGATACAGAAAAAATTTCAAACGATGCACACCAACATTGTTTTGCTGGATGTCAGAGGTTGGCGGTGTTTTCTCTCGGGGTGGACGTGGGGACGGTGGAGGAGGCTCTCTCACAGTTCTCCATTCTGGCCAAATCTAAGCAACTCAACAGCACTAAGGTGGTTCTAGACATCCAGTCTACTACAGTGTGGCTGAGGGATCGACATAAACAGGTAGGACAACCATGGAGGAGGATTAAACAGGAAAACAGATTAGCTAAGACTAGACATTCTGAAATGAAGCCCCACAAAATTCTGTCTGAACCGACTGTAGCCCATAGAATTCTGTCTGAACCGACTGTAGCCCACAGAATTCTGTCTGAACCGACTGTAGCCCACAAAATTCTGTCTGAACCGACTGTAGCCCACAAAATTCTGTCTGAACCGACTGTAGCCCACAAAATTCTGTCTGAACCGACTGTAGCCCACAAAATTCTGTCTGAACTCGACTGTAGCCCACAAAATTCTGTCTGAACTCGACTGTAGCCCCACAAAATAATGTCTGAACCGACTGTAGCTCACAAAAGTCTGTCTGAACCGACTGTAGCCCACAAAATTCTGTCTGAACTCGACTGTAGCCCACAAAATAATGTCTGAACCGACTGTAGCCCCACAAAATTCTGTCTGAACTCGACTGTAGCCCCACAAAATAATGTCTGAACCGACTGTAGCTCACAAAATCTGTCTGAACTGACTGTAGCCCACAAAATTCTGTCTGAACCGACTGTAGCCCACAAAATTCTGTCTGAACTCGACTGTAGCCCCACAAAATAATGTCTGAACCGACTGTAGCTCACAAAATTCTGTCTGAACCGACTGTAGCCCCACAAAATAATGTCTGAACCGACTGTAGCTCACAAAATTCTGTCTGAACTGACTGTAGCCCACAAAATTCTGTCTGAACCGACTGTAGCCCCACAAAATACTGTCTGAACCGACTGTAGCCCCACAAAATTCTGTCTGAACCGACCGTAGCCCCACAAAATTCTGTCTGAACCGACCGTAGACCCCACAAAATTCTGTCTGAACCGACTGTAGCCCACAAAATTCTGTCTGAACCGACCGTAGCCCCACAAAATTCTGTCTGAACCGACTGTAGCCCCACAAAATTCTGTCTGAACCGACCGTAGCCCCACAAAATTCTGTCTGAACCGACCGTAGCCCCACAAAATTCTGTCTGAACCGACTGTAGCCCCACAAAATTCTGTCTGAACCGACCGTAGCCCCACAAAATTCTGTCTGAACCGACTGTAGCCCCACAAAATTCTGTCTGAACCGACTGTAGCCCACAAAATTCTGTCTGAACCGACTGTAGCCCCACAAAATACTGTCTGAACCGACTGTAGCCCACAAAATACTGTCTGAACCGACTGTAGCCCACAAAATTCTGTCTGAACCGACTGTAGCCCACAAAATTCTGTCTGAACCGACTGTAGCCCCACAAAATTCTGTCTGAACCGACTGTAGCCCACAAAATTCTGTCTGAACCGACTGTAGCCCCACAAAATAATGTCTGAACCGACTGTAGCTCACAAAATTCTGTCTGAACTGACTGTAGCCCACAAAATTCTGTCTGAACCGACTGTAGCTGACAAAATTCTGTCTGAACCGACTGTAGCTCACAAAATTCTGTCTGAACTGACTGTAGCCCACAAAATTCTGTCTGAACCGACTGTAGCCCCACAAAATACTGTCTGAACCGACCGTAGCCCCACAAAATTCTGTCTGAACCGACTGTAGCCCACAAAATTCTGTCTGAACCGACCGTAGCCCCACAAAATTCTGTCTGAACCGACTGTAGCCCCACAAAATTCTGTCTGAACCGACCGTAGCCCCACAAAATTCTGTCTGAACCGACTGTAGCCCCACAAAATTCTGTCTGAACCGACTGTAGCCCACAAAATTCTGTCTGAACCGACTGTAGCCCACAAAATTCTGTCTGAACCGACTGTAGCCCCACAAAATACTGTCTGAACCGACTGTAGCTCACAAAATACTGTCTGAACCGACTGTAGCCCACAAAATACTGTCTGAACCGACTGTAGCCCACAAAATTCTGTCTGAACCGACTGTAGCCCACAAAATACTGTCTGAACCGACTGTAGCCCACAAAATACTGTCTGAACCGACTGTAGCTTTATGAAGAAAGGGTGAAAAAATAAATGTGTTAAAAATAAACACAGTTCACATCAGTCTTGTTTTACTTCTGCAAAATGTTGTGTTTACTGATCTTTATAAACTATATGTTGTGATTCTAATTGATTATCTGTAATCTATTTTCTATCTGTCATCTATTTATTTTAGGTCCTGGAAGAGTTCACTCTGCCATCTCTCCTCCGCTGTGATTCTCTCATTTCTGAGACTCGTTTTTCATCCCTTCTTCTGCTCGTCACGCAGAGCTCCACCCAGAAACACCCCAGCGTCCAGTTCTTCAACTGTGCACCTGCCAGGGTGAGACATTCCATCAGTCAGTCAATCAATTAATCAACCAACCATCTAACCAATCACCCAATCAATCAATCAAGCAATAGGTCCTTTTCACAGTTCTGCATTTTCTCTGCTAGAAGTTCTCGTTGCAGGGTGACGCTGCTCCTGCCAGAGCAATAACAACAACGATGATGAGCAGAGCGTTTACAGCTCACTCAAGTGTTCAAGTTTAGGCAAAAAAACAACCTCATCTCAGTTTCAGTGGTTCATCAGCTGACAATGAGCAGAGGAACATGGGTTTGTGCAGCTAATAAAGGAATAAACTTTCTCATACAGAGTAGAAGAACCTCTGTGTCTGCATTTCAGCGCTGCTGACTATCGTTAAAGCACAAACAGCATGTTAAAGTTGCTGCTTCAGCCGCTTTCAGAGGTAGTTTTCATTTTCTCCCTCTAAAGCTGTCGGTATCTGAGAGAGCGAGAGCTCAGCGGGGAGCAGACGTTCGTTCACTGGAGCCGGTGTTTGTGGACTACGTCTACAGTGGCTCTATGGACCCTGACGAAGTTCACGCTCCCCTTCACATGTGAAGCCCTCGGACATGCACATTCACTGAAAGCAGCGCCAAACAACACTGGAACTATTGAAAGTGAAACAGCTGTACGGCTGAAAGGTTGACACAGTCAGTAACAAACAGCCACGAAACGTTAACATTTCCTGAACTTTTCCGCTTTCCGTAGTTCCAGTCTTACTGCCATTGATTTCTGCTCTGTGAACGTGTAAACAAGGGCTATATTTGTGAAGGGGAGTGGGAATTTGAGGCGGAACTGATTTGAGTGCAACACCGCTATGTGAGCATCTTTAGCTTTTTGCCAACTGGTTACTGTCAGCAAGCTGTTCCAACATCTCCAGCTAACATGGCTAATCTACTGTTTTGGTTATAGTTATTTTCACCTCCATTGATTTCTCTCTCTGTAGCCGCTAACTGACGTTACTGTGCTCTGATAGCTGTGAAAGAATTTTTCCACAAAGCATTTATGTCCTTTATTTAGTCTGGACTCCACATTGTTGTGTGTTTGGTTCTCCAACAGTTCTGGACTCATCCTCGAATTTCAATCTCAGCAACTATGACAAAGATGAAGTGACTCACCTTTCTGTGGTGCTGAAGTGATACGAGCGCCTGTACTTCTGAGATTAGTAACTGGTCTTAAGGCAATAGCGGAACTTGTTCTACCAGCATTTACACACTTCCGTTTCTTGTGACGGGCCTATGAGAAGAGTACACGAACATATATCAGATGGTCTCTATAATTTCTAGTCTAAAACTATTTTTACCCCCCGTTTATGCACTTCTGTTTCCCGTGAAAAGGGCCTATCAAGTCAGTCTCTATAAGCTGCCCATCAAATGTTTGGAAACACATAGCCTTCCTAAATATCTGTACTAATGAACATGTTTTTGTTTGCAATAATTTGACACATTAAACAGAAGGCTATTTAGATCTTGATTAAATGGAAAGGTCACCTCTAAAAGGTGTTATGATGCCAAAGTCTCAGAGCTCCCACGGAAAACAAAACTGTCAAATCATTATTTATACAAAATCAACTCTTCAAACAAAGCAAGATGCTTTGAGTGTTGAATACAGGTAAACAAAGGATCATCACAGAGCTGCTTGTGATAAACCAACCCTGCACAGGGGTTTATTACTGCACTGAAAACATTCAAAAGCAGGCAGACTTTCAGATGTTGAAGCTGATCTTAGTGGTTCTCAGCGGTGTGAAATGAAGCCTGCAGGGCTGAAGGAGGAACCTGCAGACCTTTCAGAGCGTTCTTTACACGCTTCCTACTGCAGGATGGAATTACAGAAGAGGAAACTCTCTCAGATCAGACTGCATCAAAACACAACAGCTGACAGTTAGACACTCACTGTTTACCAGCTACTGCCTCTCACTGCAAGAGCAGCTTAAACACATCACAAAGGAAATACATCAGCTGGTTTCATCAACCAGGGCCACCCATAAGGGGGGGAGGGGAAAGCTGCCACTAGAGGGGGCGCAGGAGTCTGAGTACTGTGTTTAGAAACATTACAGTGGAGCATATACACCGACTGGCCACTTCATAATGACCACCTCCTTGTTTCTATGCTCATTGTCCATTTTATCAGCTCCACTTACTATATAGGTGCACTTTGTAGTTCTACAGTTACAGACTGTAGTCCATCTGTTTCTCTGATACTTTGTTAGCCCCCTTTTACCCTGTTCTTCAGTGGTCAGGACCCCCATGGACCCTCACAGAGCAGGTACTATTTGGGTGGTGGATCATTCTCAGCACTGCAGTAACACTGACGTGGTGGTGGTGTGTTAGTGTGTGTTGTGCTGGTCTGAGTGGATCAGACACAGCAGTGCTGCTGGAGTTTTTAAACACCTCAGTGTCGCTGCTGGACTGAGAATAGTCCACCAACCAAAAACATCCAGCCGACAGCGTCCTGTGGGCAGCGTCCTGTGACCACTGATGAAGGACTAGAGGATGACCAACAAAAACTGTGCAGCAGCAGATGAGCTATCGTCTCTGACTTTACATCTACAAGGTGGACTGACAAGGTAGGAGTGTCTAATAGAGTGGACAGTGAGTGGACACAGTGTTTAAAAACTCCAGCAGCACTGCTGTGTCTGATCCACAGTCCAAGCTCTGGAGCCTGTGTACAAAAAAAAAATTGTGTCTCACTTTGAAGCACTGTATGGATACGTGGTTCAGTTTCCAAAACACAGATAATCAGTGATGTCCACAGCTTTGTTTAGGACACAACAATGTGACTGATTTGGAAACTGATTCAACATAAGCAAACCGGCGCAGGTTTCCATGATTTCGAGCCAATCACAAACACTTACATCATGATTTAGATTTCATATATAAAGCTTTTTATTTATTAAAGAATATATATAAGTCTAAGGTTATGCATGAGTTTGTCAGGAGATTTACTATGAAGACCGGCCGTAAATGATGTTGAGCCTCTAAGGTGATGTCATTTTTAGTGTCATGTTTGTCACTATTTACCTTTACTGCTTTAAAACTGAATCACATGCTTTTAAATCAACAGACAAAGATTTGGATGTTTATCCTAAAGCAACCCCAGAAAAGGTGTAAATGTGTAAATGTATAGCTACTGTTCATGATTTTAACCACCAGGTGTCATTAATGTGCAACCTTTGAGTGCAGAACCCTTTCAGTGCAATTTAAAGGAAAACGTAACTGTTTCATAAAGCTTTGTTTTGCCATGCTGTCATAAGCCAGGTCAGAGTTCAGGGTCAGAACCAAAACAAGAAGTATTAAATACAAAAAGAAAACAAAAACAAGGCCCTCAGAATTGCAGCAGTGTAAGCAAGCAGGACTTCGCAAAGTGTGAGTTTGAGCTCTGAGCTTAAATGCTTAACAAAACAGCGTCTAATCAGAGTCAGGTGCAAGCCTAAGCCTAGACCTCTGTAAACAGTGACCTCTGAAGGTGTGGAGGGGAACTGGTGGCTGCAGATGTGACAGTGGCTCTCATTCGTCAAAGTTTCACACGGTTACATCTGACCGTAAAACGAGCGTAAGCAAATTTCACTGAGAGTTTTGTTATTCATCAGGCTCATCTTTGGCAAACTCACACCTGGTAGGAGAGCGTGAAATTTGAGCGTGATAGTTTAACAGCCTGAAAAATGCTTAACCAAAACTCTTATCGATATCATCTATAACACCAATAAAAAGAAAAATGACAATAGTTTACAAAGTAGATGTACTTATTTTGCATGCACAGTGGAACAAACAAACACTGAAACTGTTCTATGTTCTGTTTAAAGACACATTGCACTGTTCTTTTGTTTATACCACTGACTCCGCCCACAAAATTAACAATGTGAAACACAGCTAGTATCATACGCTCCAATAATTCAACATTTAAAATGATATTTTGGGAAAATAAGCACAATCACATCATTCTGCTTTGTTTATTTCACATTTGGTTCTTTCCAGTGGTCGCAATTACGACACTATGAAGTTTGGTCAGTAAGGGGAGCACTGCACTCACCGCTCCACCTCAAACTTAATATATATATATATATATATATATATATATATATATATATATAATATGGTATAGCACTAAAAAGTCTTTTTCTATTGTTACAAGCTTGACGTCGTAACAATATCAAAACACTTTCTGGTGCTATATAGAATCATCTACAACACATTCTCCATGCAGAGAACCATTTAAGCATCAAATGGTTCTTTAAGTGTTCATGGTTTATTACAGAACCATTTCCTTCACTAAAAAACCCTTGAAACATCTTTTTTACAATATCTTGAACTTTTTTATAATTTCAGTATTATTTTGTTAAACTTTTCTTTAGACATGCCATCAGTTTTGTGTTTGTACCTCATATCTTACTTGGTTAGCACCTGAAACTTAAGGGACTGTAAAAGAAAGCGCTGCTGATATGTGTTGATTTAATGAGGACCCTGCAGTGTTTAAGTCTCAGTGTTTCTTAATTCTGATTTGAATTTTGTTACTAAAAAGTATTTGGGGAAAAAAACAGTCTCCATTATAAAAACAGGGAAAAACAGGAGCGCTATAAAATATATTTGTCACTTAATTGGGTGAGGGAGTGGGAAGTTAGGGCAGCCTTCCAGAAGGCCATACCAAACGCACCTGCCTCACTTTGGGCAGCCCTGACCTACAGACTTTCGGTCAGTTTTCACAAATGTTTTTGTGTGTAAGCAAACAAACAAACACACCGTGTGCTGTTTTAGTGATTTTCTTAGTAACACTTTATTTTAACTTTGCTTTTTGATGACTACTAACTTATCAGCAAGCAGTGAATAATGATAGGAAACATCATTTAAAAGAAAGTTTAGAAATGTAGTATAAATGCATGAATGTGCTGTATTAATAATGTCCTGTGTAAGATAGTAATGTTAGTAATGCCACTGTATCGGCACCTTTCTACAGTTAAAAGGTTAAAAGTTATTCAATTGTAATCTTTCCAGTTAAAAGCATTCTTGAAATGTCTTTCTGTGAAATCTTAATCAAGAAATATTAACAGTTAATAATGACCTCAATTCACAAACGTGCTAGTAAATGTTGATATATGGTCACATTTCTGTTACAAAGCTGTACATATGACCTGTACAGCCTGATGGTCAAAGGAGGAGCTTATAAATGTTTACAAAGTACTTCACAAAAGTGTCACAATGATGAAATACATTTCGCTGTTGTCGGGACAAAACATCGTATCTCTATTTTTGGCTTTTTTCAGTTTTTGACATAATTTGAAAATGCCTGTTGCTCTTAACATTGTGTGTAAATTTCATGATGAATGGACTAAAAAATGATCAAAAAGGACTTGCAAAGACGTCTGGTTCCATTGACTTACATTAAAAGTAAAGTATTTCTTTCCTTCTCCTGTAAAGTTACCATTTTGGAGGTACGAGGTTTTGTTCCAACAACAGCGATTTAAAAGATCTTTACTAATGAGTTTGCGAGACCAAAGCTGCAGTGGAACATACTCATACTTAAATGCTGACAAACGATTTAGAAACATGTTTAAAGAACTCTTACATTTACTAATAACTAACTAAATAACTAATTTAGAGAATATCTTATTAACGTGTCACAAACACATTTATATCATATTTCTAAGCTTGCTTAAAAATTATGTTTCTATTTACTATGCATTTATAAAGTGCCTGGTAATAGATAATAAACAGTTAATAAGCAGATGAAGAGCTAGTGTTTATCTGAGTGTTTATAGTGTGAACTGAAGGTGAGTAACGTAGAGAAACTGAATCACTCTGTGTTTCTGACACTGACGAGTGTCCATGACTGTCCATCACAGTGTCCATGCTGGAGTTACACATCAGCAGCTACAGCATTAACTGACCAATAGGAGGCAGTCTAGCACACATTTCAGACCTGTTACTCACACACGCCACTCCCTCCATCCTTCTGACCTCACACTCTCTCTCTCTCTCTCTCTCTCTCTCTGTGTGTGTGTGTGTGTGTGTGTGTGTGTGTAGGCGGAGCTCATTAGAGATGAAATACGGCGTGTGGTGTCGGATTACACACAGAGAGAAAAAAGGTACTGAACCAACCTGTCCGTCAAAACCTGACACAGGGGCGATCGACAATGCTCACATGAGAGAGAGGGAGAGACAGAGAGAATGAGACAGAGAGAGTGAGAGAGGAGTTAACTCATGAAAAAGTGGACAAACCAGTTCTACCTGTCTCTACATAACTTAAGAAGGTGTGACAGAGAGAGAGAGAGAGAGAGAGAGAGAGAGAGAGAGAGAGAGAGAGAGAGGGAATCAGTCTGGGGGAGTTTTTATTTCTCTGGACCACCTGAGTGGACAGGTACACTTACAAGGACGTGGGAAGCAGAACGAGGTACAGTTCATAAATCTTTATACAGCGTTTGACCTTTAAATGGCTTCTATACTTTTATATAGTTTGCGTGTCTTTATGTGGTTTGTTTAACTTTATACACAGTACACATTTTCTAGAGTTTATATAGTTTATAGATCTTTATACAGCGTATATCCTTTATACAGTTTGTCTACCTGTATGTACTGTATCACTTTATATTAGTTTATATACTTAATATAGTTTATACAACACTGGACTGTACAAATAATAATTTATACACTTTGTATCAGCTTATACACGTTATACATGAATCAGGGTACAGTGTTTATATACATATTTCAGTTTATTTACTTCATATATGTCAGTTTATATACTACGTGTCAGTTTATACACTTCATACATGTCAGTTTATATTTTTTATGTGTCAGTTTATACACATCATATATTTCAGTTTATACACTGTATGTCAGTTTATACACTTCTTATGTGTCAGTTTATACACTTCTTATGTGTCAGTTTATACACTTTATATATGTCAGTTTATATACTTTATATATGTCAGTTTATACACTTTATATATGTCAGTTTATATACTTTATATATGTCAGTTTATACACTTTATATATGTCAGTTTATATACTTTATATATGTCAGTTTATACACTTCTTATGTGTCAGTATATACACTTTATATGTCAGTTTATATACTTTATATATGTCAGTTTATACACTTTATATATGTCAGTTTATACACTTTATATATGTCAGTTTATATACTTTATATATGTCAGTTTATACACTTCTTATGTGTCAGTTTATACACTTTATATGTCAGTTTATATACTTTATATATGTCAGTTTATATACTTTATATATGTCAGTTTATACACTTCTTATGTGTCAGTTTATACACTTTATATGTCAGTTTATATACTTTATATATGTCAGTTTATACACTTCTTATGTGTCAGTTTATACACTTTATATGTGTCAGTTTATAAACTTTATTTTTACACTATACTTTATTGCGTATAAAGATCAGGCGGCTTTAAAAACTATTTATTTTGTACAAAATGCACTCAGAGAATAAGGATCTCACAGTCTGTTAAGCTGCTAATATGCATTTTTTATGCATTCTAATCTGATTTATGAGCTCCGAGTCTGAAATGGAGCTCTCAACATTCACCAAACACTGATGTGACTGAGATAAGAACAGCAATACAAGACAAGCAGAGCGGCAGAGATAAGAATTTAGATGAGAATTAATTTAGAAAACCATTTAATTTCAGAACCTCTTCATTAAATTAAAGTAAATTAGTTAATTTTTCATTGTTCATGGGCTGCATTAGTCTGTAGTCTGTGTTCTACACCACATGAGCTGGAAATGTGAGCTGCCTTCAGCTGCTCAGCACAGTTTTCTCCCAGTAACAGCTCCAACCCGCTGGACTATTTACAGACAGAAAGCGTACTAAACAGTGAACAGCCAGTATTTTCAACTGGACTCTCTCTTCTGCTGAAGAGCCAGTGTGTTTACACAGCTAGCCTGCTAGCTAAGCTAAGTAATGTTAGCTTCACCTAATGAGTCACAAACACAGCCTGCCAGGTCACATTGGACAAGGAAACTGCCTAGATTTAACCACAGGAACCATTTCTAGAGATCTACAAACACAAATATGTTAAATATTTTATACAAATATACCAATCTAAACAGTAAATAACTGACATCTATAAACCCCTCCGGCAGAAACAGCCGCTCCGTCGGCCATGTTTATCAAACTGAAGTGTGGCTTTATACACTTTATATATGCATCAGTTTACAGACTTTATATACATCTCACTTTATACACTTTATATATGCATCAGTTTACAGACTTTATATACATCTCACTTTATACACTTTATATATGCATCAGTTTACAGACTTTATATACGTCTCACTTTATACACTTTATATATGCATCAGTTTACAGACTTTATATACGTCTCACTTTATACACTTTATATATGCATCAGTTTACAGACTTTATATACGTCTCACTTTATACACTTTATATATGCATCAGTTTACAGACTTTATATACGTCTCACTTTATACACTTTATATATGTATCAGTTTACAGACTTTATATACGTCTCACTTTATGCACTTTATGTATCAGTTTACAGCCTTTATATACGTCTCACTTTATGCACTTTATATATGTATCAGTTTACAGACTTTATATACGTCTCACTTTATGCACTTTATGTATCAGTTTACAGCCTTTATATACGTCTCACTTTATACACTTTATATATGTATCAGTTTACAGCCTTTATATACGTCTCACTTTATGCACTTTATGTATCAGTTTACAGCCTTTATATACGTCTCACTTTATACACTTTATATATGTATCAGTTTACAGACTTTATATACGTCTCACTTTATGCACTTTATATATGTATCAGTTTACAGCCTTTATATACATCTCACTTTATACACTTTATATATGTATCAGTTTACAGCCTTTATATACGTCTCACTTTATACACTTTATATATGTATCAGTTTACAGACTTTATATACGTCTCACTTTATGCACTTTATGTATCAGTTTACAGCCTTTATATACGTCTCACTTTATACACTTTATATATGTATCAGTTTACAGACTTTATATACGTCTCACTTTATGCACTTTATATATGTATCAGTTTACAGCCTTTATATACGTCTCACTTTATACACTTTATATATGTATCAGTTTACTGCCTTTATATACGTTTCACTTTATACACTTTATATATGTATCAGTTTACAGACTTTATATGTGTATCAGTTTACCGCCTTTATATATGTATCATTTTACACACTTTATATACATGTCACTTAATACACTTTATATATGCATCAGTTTACAGACTTTATATACGTCTCACTTTATACACTTTATGTATGCATCAGTTTACAGACTTTATATACGTCTCACTTTATACACTTTATGTATGCATCAGTTTACAGACTTTATATACGTCTCACTTTATACACTTTATATATGTATCAGTTTACAGACTTTATATACGTCTCACTTTATGCACTTTATGTATCAGTTTACAGCCTTTATATACGTCTCACTTTATGCACTTTATATATGTATCAGTTTACAGCCTTTATATACGTCTCACTTTATACACTTTATATATGTATCAGTTTACTGCCTTTATATACGTTTCACTTAATACACTTTATATATATATCAGTTTACAGACTTTTTATACATGTCGCTTTACACACTTTATATATGCATTAGTTTACATATATACGTGTTTATATACGTGTCACTTTATACACTTTATGTATGTGTCAGTTTACAGACTTTTTATATGTTTTGCTTTATACACTATATATATGCATCAGTTTACAGATTTTATATACGTGTGGCTTTATACACTTTATGTAAGTGCCAGTTTACAGACTTTTATATGTGTTGCTTTGTACACTTTATATATGTTTTAGTCTACAAACTTTATATACATCTCACTTTATACACTTCACGTATATCATTTCACAGATTTATATACGTCTCACTTTATACACCATGTATCAGTTTACAGACTTTATACAGTTGATACACTTTACACAGTTCATGTCTTTATACAGGTTATAGACTTTGTATCAGCTTATACAGTTAATGAATGTTATAAGTTCATACAATAAGGGCATGTTGGTTTATACACTTCATACATGTGTCGCTTTACACACTTTATATATTTTATAATCTTATGTATCTTTATATAGTTTATATTAGTTTACACACTGTGTGTCAGCTTATACAGTTTCTGCACATTGAGTTTCTACACTTTATACAAATATCAGTTTATTCACTTTATATGTGTGAGTTTATACACTCTACACAGCTGATCTTCCTTTATAGAGTCTACACTGTTTCAGATCGCTGTGTTTACAGTCTGCAATTTAGCTTTATAAGTGTGTGTGTTAGTGTTACAGTGATGGTGTGTGTGTGTGTGTGTGTGTGTCTGTGTGTGTGTGTGTGTGTGTCTGTGTGTATGTGTGTGTGCATGTGTGTGTGTGTGCGTGTGTGTGTGTGTGTGTGTGTGCGTGTGTGTGTTTGTGTGTGTGTGTGTGCGTGTGTGTGTGTGTTTGTGCGTGTCTGTGTGTGTGTTTGTGTGTGTGTCTGTGTCTGTGTGTGTGTGTCTGTGTCTGTGTGTGTGTGTGTGTGTCTGTGTCTGTGTGTGTGTGTGTGTGTGTGTGTGTGTGTGTGTGTGTGTGAGTCTCTGAGTGACTGAGTGTGCTGTTGTCTGTTGTGTTGTGTGTAACGGTGTGTGTTGTGGTGACGGTTGACTCATGGTGGTGTTTATGTGTATCAGCTCTCTGACTGACAGCACTGTGGGAGCTTATTCAGCATCTACACTGGATAAGAACACACTGTACAGATTACAGCTGACTACTGATGACCTCACACAGCGGGGGGGATACTGAACACTGTGTGTGTGTGTGTGTCAGGGCTGGTCTGGTTGGTGTGACTCCTGCTGTTTTGGGAGTGGCCCATTATTATCAGTGCTTTATATCCTATTTATATACTTACATATTATGAATGAGAAATAATGGCGCCACATTAGAAGAGGAAACACTGGATATTCTACACCCATAATAAACAGGCTCACTCACTGATACTGGACAAACTGTTTATCATGAGAATTTAATATCACAGGACTAACAAAATAGACTAGAATCAGTTATAAACTACGAGTTACATCCGGGTTTTTTCCTGAGTTTGTCCCCCTTTGCTGCAGTAACAGCCTTAACTCTTCGGGGAAGGCTTTACCCTAGGTGTTGGAACATTGCTGTGAGGTCTTGATTGCATCCACAAAAGCAGTTAGATGAGTTAATATTTCAGGTCAGTTCAGTCGCTCTGTATGAAGTTAACCTTGTCTAGATCACTGTAATAGTACCAGCACGCTTCCCTCAAAGCATTCTCTTCCAGTTTTTATATCATCCAGCAATAATATACCATTAGAAAGCTTGAAATCATAGTATTAACAATTGTCTCATTTGCAAATGAGCTAGCAAATCTGTAGATCCTCACCTTCAAAGCCTCGCCGCTCTCCAAAGAGACACCATAATCCAAAACATGAGGTCTGATATCACAGCAAGAGTCAGAGATCAGTTTAGAGATCTGAGTCAGGAGGAAATAAACTCCTCCATTCTAGACTCTGTTACTCTGAGTCAGTAACTCATACAGGTATAAAACTTTGAGAGTGTTTCCTTTCAAATGAGGCTGAGATCATGACTGTAGCCCAAAGTATGTGTGAACAGCGCCCCCTTTACTTTGGGTATGCCGTTTTAGGCAAAAATGGGGCAGCAGTTAACAGATTAGACTCAATATTGAAGATGTGATTAGAAAGCTCTAAATATTCATAACTAAAAACCTATTTAGAGCACAGCCCTGATTTTTATGGGGTAAACATAAGAGGGAGTGTTAGTGAGGTCAGGTACTGATGTTGGATGATTAGGTCTGGATCACAAACATCACACCAACTCATCCTAAAGGTGCTAGGAGCTCATTCACTCAGGCATGTGCACAGAGAGACCCCTGGAGGGCTTGGGCTCCAACCCTTTTGCCCTCAGACTGTACAAGTGCCCTCTTCAGCATGCATTATGATGATGTTTTATATGGTCATTCTTTCGTTTCAGTGAGGCTCAGATCAGCCTCGCCTCTGCAGTAGTTATGTGAGCTTTGTCACTCTTTGGCGCCCCCTCTGGTGCAGTACCAACCAACCGTAGAAATTTCACCTCAGTATCTCTGACCTGTCACAGATACACTCATCACCACAGCGCTGGACATTCTGCTGATTCAGCGCTGACAACAATAAGGAGCTCTAAAAGCTCCCTAAACTAAGTTTCTGTTATTGAAAAGAAGAGTGAGATTTTGGAATGGGATGACCAACAAGCAAATAGGTGTGACGGACAGGTGTACTTTTGGCCACATCACATCTGTTTATAGATACAGATATTGATAAAGTACACCTGACCATCACACCTATATAAGCTTGTTGGACTTGGCCTTTGCAGCTATAACAACCTCCAAACCTCTGGGAAGCTTCTACAAGATGTTGGAGTGTCTGTGTGAATCTGTGTCCATTCAGTCTAAAGAGCATTTGTGAGGTCAGACACTGATGTTGGACGAGAGGGCCTGGCTCACAATCTCCGTTCTAGTTCATCCCAAAGGTGTTCAGTAGGGTTGAGGTCAGGGCTCTGTGAGGGCCAGTGGAGTTCCTCCACACCAGACTGGTCACTCCATGTCTTTAAGGAGCTGCTTTGTGCTCAGGGGCTCAGTCATGCTGGGACAGGAAAGGCTCTTCCCCAAACTGCTGACACAAAGCTGGAAGCAGATAACTGTGTAAAATGTCTTTGTGCTGCAGCATCAACATCACCCTTCACTGGAACTGAGAGCCCAAACCCTGAGAAACAGCCCAGCCCCTCATCCCTCCTCCACCACACTGTACTGTTGGCTCTGCATCCCAGTAGGTAACGTTCTCCTGACATCCACCAAACCCAGATTCATCATCAGACTGACAGATAGAGAAGCTGATTCATCACTCCAGAGAACACGTTTCTACTGATCCAGAGTCCAGCGGCGGCGCTTTACACCCCTCCAGCCGACACTTGGCATTGAGCATAGTGATCTTAGGCTTGTGTGCAGCTGCTCAGCCATGGAGACCCATTTCATGAAGCTCCTGATGTGCAGGTCTTGTGCTGATGTTGCTTCCAGAGGCAGTTTGGAACTCTGTAGTGAGTGATACAACAGAGGATAGACCATTTTTATGGTCTCTGCACTTGAGCACTCAGCGGCCCCATTCAGTTAGTTCGCATGGTCTGTCGCTTTGTAGCTGAGCTGTTGTTGCTCCTAAATGCTTGAAATTAACAAGGCAGAAATTTCAGTAACTGATCTGTTGGCAAAGATAGCATCCCATGACTGTGCCATGGTTAAAGTCACTGAGTTCCTCAGTATGATTCATTCTACTGCCAGTGTTTGTCTATGGAGACTGCATGGCTGTATGTTAGCAATCAGTGTGACTAAAACACCTGAACTCAGTAATTAGGAGGGGTGTCCACATACTTTTGGCCCTATAGTGTGTATTACAGTGTCACTCTTTATATGAATGCACTGTAAATATGCAGGTTGGCCTTTTTCCCATTATGCCCTTCCTCCCAAAATTATCTGTGCATGGGCCTGCCTGTATTGGGCCTGGTGACCAAAGGCTTATGTGCGGTCAGTGCTTTTCTATTGAGATTATACAAGCTGTATCAACAATGGGTGGCCTTAAGTAGCTAAAGGCAGTTAGGAGGGCTGTAACAGTGAGCATGTGGTTCTCAGGGTCAGTGAGTGTTTTCTGTGCTCTAACTCACCTTCATCATCATCAGCTCTAAAGATCTTCATCAGCTGAGTCAGCTATGAGTCTGAGACTGTGAAGGGCTCATGTGATTTAACAACTACACTCAAACAGAGGCACTGTTAATGTAGACAAGATTAAAATCAATTTCATATGTAATTTAATATAATTAATGTAACAGATAATTTGGTGACACTTCCTGTGAATCCTGGAGTTCATAACTGCTTATAAATACAAACATTACCTTGTAATGCCTGGCATAAACATGTATAATTTCTCATAAGTAGCTATGATTACATGGATAACACATTATAAAGCAATCTTTATGGAGCTTCATTGAGTCATATGTACTCTTACTTTATAAAGTCTTGTGTACTGTTTAGCACATTATAAATGTATTTAAAGTGCATTATGGGAAGTGTTACTGATCATTTTAGAATATTCAAGTTAACTGGTTGTATGTGAGTGAATTAATAATGAGTGTCTTACATTCAGTGTGCTGACATGGTCATATTACTGATCTCTGTGACTGACTGTGTTTGTGTATCAGGTTGTCTCAGACGGGCAGTATGGATTATCAGGAGATTCCCAGCCCCCCCAGAGCGCAAGCACCATTCTCTCCCCCACCATACGTTACAGGTCAGTTACAGTTCAGTGTCTACTATGAATTATTCAGTAACTACTGTGAATTATTCAGCATCTGTTATGGATTATTTAATATCTACTATGAATTATTCAGTATCTACTAAGGATTATTTAGTATCTACTATGAATTATTCAGTATCTACTAAGAATTATTCAGTATCTACTATGAATTACTCAGTATCTACTAAGGATTATTCAGTATCTACTATGAATTATCCAGTATCTACTATACATTTTTCCGTAACTACTATGAATTCCTATATTATGCTGAAGATCATTCAGTGTCGACTCGAGCCTCACACTGTTGAACTGTGTCAACTGTGTAAATTGTGGAACATCTTCAGGGTAACAGGGAATCTCATTGTTCTAATCAGCCACCGCCACGCTAGAGAATGGACAAACAGACTGGTTCCACTTTGGTGATGGAGTAAGACAAGGCTGCCCACTGTCACCACACCTGTTTACCCAGTACACAGAACATAGAATGAGAGAAGCAGGACTGAAAGATAGTGATCAAGGATTCAGGATTGGTGGAAGAAACTCAGGAAAATCAGGAAGATCTGAATGCTCTTAGAAGGAAAGTTAAGGAATAGAGTGGAAAGATGGAACTTCAGGTCAACATGAAGATGTTGATGGTGAAGGTGTGGAAGTGTTGGGCGTTTTTTTGCTTATTTGGATCATTTATTAACAAAAGATCCAACAGTCAAGAAATACGACACAGATCAGCAGAACAAGGATGAAGGAGCTTGAAAAGATCTTCGAATGTAACGATGAGTCTCTACAAACAAAGATCAGCATTGTCCAGGCTGTGGTCTCCTCTGTGGTTCTTCATGGATGCAAAAGCTGTGGGATAGGATGAATCTTGATGCCTCTGAACTTTGGTGTGTGTGAAGACTTGTGAAGCACCATGGACAGACAGTCTCATCTCTCAGTCGAAGCCCAGATAACCAGCCTGAGGCTCTTATTTTGTTAATATTATGAAAAGAACCAGTTTATTGGAATACACAGTTATCGAACTGTGAGGACAACCAGCAATAAGATAGATGTACCGTCTTAAAAAAGATGGTACTTCAAGGGTTCTTTAGTTAAGACAGTGGTTCTACATAGAACCATGAACACTGAGGATCATTTGCATGCTTAAATTGTTCGTTGCATGATGCGATGGTTATTTAGATTGATTTAGTTAAATGATTGGAGAATGTGATGTATATGGATCTATGTAGAACCTTTTTGAAAATGGTTCTACATAGCTCCAAAATGGGTTCTGCTATTATATACAAGCTTGATATCGTAACTATAGCAGAACGCTTTTGGTGCTACATAGAACCAAATAGAACACTGTGCCCTGCATCCATCCCCCGGGCCCCGATGATAGCCGCGAGAGCCAGTGGGAGGGCGGGGCCCGAACCCCAAACATTGCCAAGGAATGCGAGTGACGGTGGGAGGAGGAGGCAGCCCAGGCCCCAGTTCCTGTTCCGCAGCGAGGCCACTAGACTACACCTTATGTCTGACCCAGGCGGTGGAGTTCAGGACTCGTGTCCCACCTTCATGCCTCTAATGGCCATCATCATTGTCCCATCTCTGGCAGCTGCCCTCCTCCTCCCACTGTCACTTGTGTGCCGTTTGGGCCCCGCCCTCCCGCCGGCTCTCATGGCTGTCATCAGGGCCCGGGGGACAGACGCAGGACACAAACATATTCTCCATTTAAGCATGCAAATGGTTCTTTGAGTGTTCATGGTTCTGTACAGAACCATTGTCTTTACTAAAGAACCTTCGAAGAGCCATCTTTTTCAAGAGTGTAGACAATCAGAGGAATCATGAACAAAGCGTTAAAAAGGAATGGAAGTGTGGACCCACACAGACCTTTAGAGTTGAAGGAGTTTTGAACTGGTCCAGATTTAGAGCAGATTTACTAAATGCAGGGAATGAATAGGGAAGGAGATTTAGTCTGGAATGTTATTTGGCTCAGTGTGTATTACATAATGAGGCATGTTTGAGGTGGAATTTGAGCCCAACCCTGCTGCACCCGCCCCTGGTCCAGCCAGTCCAGGTCTACAGGAGTGTCTAAATACAGCAGGCAGGGCATGGGTGAGGGCTGGTACTGAGCTATGCTGGAGGCCTGGACACTCCTACAGCAGGGTTTATGAATCAGAGGCAGTGCATGACACAGTCTACGTGAGCAAAAGTGTTCGCAGTCAGCACATGGTGGCTTTCTGTGTTTGAAAGCAGTCTCAGATGGAGTATCTGTGGGTAATCACCTGTTTAATTAGAGTGGATAGGAATGAGACTCAGTTTATATCACAATACCTACATTTAGAGTCAGTTATTCACAAGATTGATGGAGTTTTTATGGTGTAATTAGGTTCATAAATATACGCCATTTAACATTGCTAACCAGCTAAGTTTGCATTATGCTCTGTACCACTAGCTACTGTAGCACAGCTGGGATTTTGCATACAATATTTTCTCCATTACACTATAATTATGTTATATTATGGCACAATAGAAAGCAAGACAATATGTAGCCTTGGGATATATCAGTAAATATGAACAACATGTTTTGGTAGCTGGAATACAACCAAAACATGGACTTGATCTGAGGACTGGATTGTGACAGGGTTATTGGAGTGTGGAGTGCGAGGTTTACTCTTGAGGGAAAGATAACATCCAGCCTGAAAAGTGTGGGTTTAACCCCTTAAAATCCCAGTCTTATTCCACACTAAGGCTTATTATTCAGTAACTACAGGGGCTTTCATTGCAAACTGGCTGAGCAGGTCTTAGATTATGGAAGTGTGTATGCAGGCTGGTGGGCCCAGGCCATTTAAGGGGTTTACTGAATAAGAAGCCTTAGTATGTAATAACTCTGGGGTTTTAAGGGGTTAAATGATGCACCAGTTCTCATTACCATTTACATAAACTGGAAATTCTCACAATTAGAATCTGTAGAGTTTAGATTTCTGTTCAGCTGAGTGAGATTTATACACTGTACAGCTGGGATGTTTATAATGCAGAGTTGGGATTTCTATACTTCTTTAATTTCTGCACTTTAGTGTTGGGATTTGTGAACTGTAAGGTTGGAGTTGTGTTTTCCAGACTGTAGAGTTGTGATTGACAGTTCAGTGGCAGTTTAGATTTCGACAGTGTACAGTTGGGAATTCTGCACTGTGGAGTTGGGATCTCTGCACTGTGGAGTTGGGAATTCTACACTGTGGAGTTAGGAATTCTGCACTGTGGAGTTGGGATTGCTGTGCTGTGGAGTTGGGAAATCTGCAATATGGAGTTGGGAATTCCACACTGTACCATGGAGATTTATTCACTGAAGAGTTGGGATTTTAGGCTTGTGGAATTGGGATATCTGCTCTGTGCAGTTGGGATTTCTGCACTGTGGAATTTAGAATTCTGCACTATGGATCTGGGAATTCCTTACTGTACCATAGAGATTTCTTCACTGACAAGTTGGGATTATGGGCCTGTGGAGTTGGAATTTCTGCACTGGCTTGGCTTTCCTTCATTGTAGAGCTGTAATTGCTGCACTGTACAGTTAGAATGGGATTCTGCTGTGATTTGGAATTTTTTCACTGTAGACTTTGGATTTTTGCCCTGAGTTAGAATTTCTTGACTATACAGCTGAGATTTCTGCACTGGGAGTTGGAATTTTAGTGCTGTAGCACTGGAATTTCTTTGCTAAGGAGTTATGCTTCCTGAGCTTTAGAGCTAGAATTTCTGCACTGTACAGTTGGGATTTCGACACTGTGAGGTTGGGTTCCACAATCAGTGGTGCCTGTAGCTGTGTTCAAAATGGGCTGTGGTTACTATTCCCTACACTGGAGAACCAGGAACAGCTGCCATGTCTGAAACTCTCCCCTAATCACTGCACCTGCACTCGGAAATCCGGATCACTTTATCAAGCACTATTACAGGGAACAGAACATGTGGTGGTAGTAAACGATTTGGGACACTAACGTTATACGGGTTTGCTCATTACTTACAGAAACCACAGTGCATTATGGGTATCCCCTATCTGATAGGGTACATCAGTTCTACACTACTTATTGTGGTGCACTGTGGGATTGTTAGACTACACTGGATATTCCCTGCTTTATTTTCAGATACTACTACAAAACGGTGGACTTTCAGAACAGTGTGAAGAATTAACCTGAAAAACTGAGTATTTTTGAAGGTGGCTGGTGTTTTTACCTTCACCCTTCCAGATGATTTTAGAGAGCCTACAGGATGACAATTCACTCTCTCTCTCCCTCTCTCTCTCTCTCCCTCTCTCTCTCTCTCTCTCCCTCTCTCTCTCTCTCTCCCTCTCCCCCTCTCTTTAGCGAATGGAGTGCCGAATGGGGAGTCTGATAAGGCGTTCTTGAGGGCGCAGCAGGAGGTGGTGAGTTTCACTCGCTTTGCTTGCTCAGCCTGAACTAATTACACAACCCATGAATCCAGTTTGCTGGCAGCTCACACCTTTAGCTCACATTTAAAACTGATTCCATTTTACATTCACTAACTAAACCTCTCTCTCTCTCTCTCTCTCTCTCTGTCTCTCTCTCTGTCTCACTCTCTTTCTCAGTTTAATAGTGCTTTACTCACATGAATGCACGAATATTACAAGTGACGTAAATAGGAGAGTAAGCAGAAAAAGAACAACAGAAAATAAGCCTATTGTTATCTCTCTCTCTCTCTCTCTCTCTCTCTCTCTCTCTCTCTGTAGGACCTGCTGAATCACTGCTTTGATGACATAGAGATGTTTATGGGGAAGCTGCAGCAGATAGCTGAAGCTCAGAGCATTCTGGAGCAGAGAAACAAGAAGAAGAAGAAAAGTCGCAAGAAAAGCACAGAAGGTATGACAGAAAGAAAGAAAGAGAGACAGACAGAGAGAGAGAGAGAGAGAGAGAGAGAGAGATGACTGGTCTGCCCACAAATCACAAATGTGTTCTTTCATAGCGACCAGGAGCTTTTATGTAGTGTTGTGAATGTTTTACTAACAGTCCCATTCAACCTAATGAGAAACTGTAGAACAGACTCAGTTTATATCACAATACCTACATTTAGAGTCAGTTATTCATTCAGCCTAATGAGAAACTGTAGAACAGACTCAGTTTATATCACAATACCTACATTTAGAGTCGGTTATTCATTCAGCCTAACGAGAAACTGTAGAACAGACTCACAGTTCTCATTAGGTTAATTGGGATTTTTGTTATTGTTGTGTAAAGCAAACCTCACAACAGCAGCTACGATAGAACATATTTGTGGGCGGAGCCTGAAGATGGACATTATTTGTATTGATTACTAGCTGCATAGTGATTATTGTAATTGATTGAGTGATTGATTGATGGGCCTGTTGATTCATTGTGTAGATGATCTGCTCAGTGCCAAAGCTAAAGCTCCACCTGAGACAGAGTTCATCCAAATATTCCAGAAATTCAAATACGCCTTCAGTCTACTGGTGAGTAACACACACACACACACACACACACACACACAGTCATACACACACACACACACACACACACACACAGTCATACACACCCTGAGAAAGGGTGTGTTTGAAAGATTTAGAATGCTCAACAAGCAAACTTAACAGTGTGAAAAAGTGAGAGCCCCTGGAAAATGAGTTACACTGCAGAGCTCCAGATTCCAGCTTGACATTTTTATTGCTTAATTGTGGCTCCGTTGTGGCTCAGCAGATCTAATGATGAATCATAAAATTCCCTATAAAGCTGACAGAAAGGAGAGATGAGATGGAGGAGAGATAAAGGAGATTAATTAAAGTTTAACTGCTGATAAACATTAGCATTGTTATGATATGCAAATTAGTTGAGATCTCTACTGAAACTGGGCCCTTTCCTCAAGAGAAACATCTGAGCAGCAGCTGACGTCTCCTTTATCTTATACCTGATCTCAACGTTGCCTAAAGTACAGAGATATAAAAGATTTGATTTTTCTTTCCTAGGGGAAGCGCTGCCTGCTGATCAGTCAACGATTTGTTGATAAATCATTAGTAGAGTATTAATAAGGCTACTGTTGAGGAGCTGAGGTAGGCAGAGTAGCCTAAACCCATACTCAGAATGAATCAGGTGAAGGTAACAGTACCTTCTCAAAAACAGTTTGAGTAAAAGTACACTCTTAAAGAGGGTTCTTCAAGGGTTCTTTGGTAAAGAAAATGGTTCTATATAGAACCATGAACACTCAAGGATACATCTGCATGTTTAAGTCTTCTTTGCATCATGAAATGGTTCTTCAGATTGATGGAGAATGTGTTGTATATGGTTCCATATAGAACTTTTAGCACCAAAAAGGGTTCCACCATTGTTACAAGCCTGAAGAACCCCTTTTTAGTACCATATAGAACCCTTTTTGTTAAGAGTGTACAAAACTATCAGGTCAAAAAACCTAAACTAAAGTGCTGAGTAATACAGCTGCAGTGGAACTTCTTAGTAAATCCAGCAACTCTGTCAGTACAGCAACTGAAGGCTGTTACACTCTATTCTACTCATCTTGGGATTATTTTGGTCTAAAATAAAATGATAAAGCAACAACAAAACTGAATGACATTAAACACAACAAAGGAATTTCTAACAAAACCTGAAAGGATAAAATGTCAAAGAGTAAAAAGTACAGAACTTTCCTCACCTATAAACTTGTGAAGAAGTGAAAGTATATTGACTTGAAAATACTCAGAAGAGTACTAAGTACATTTACTCGGGCAAATGTAACTACTTAGTAGTAAGTTCAGGTGCTGACCAGCGTGTGTTTTGAATTTCAGGCAAGGTTAAAATCAGCCATTTCTAACCCCACATCAGAGGAGCTGGTACATCACGTCTTCAAACCGCTGGACATGGTGAGTGTGTGTGGCTGTGTTTGTTTTTCCTGTTTAAACACTCCTGCTTTTGTTAGAGCTTTTACTGCACTCTGCCCATTCAAAAGTACTGGATTGACTAATGGGATTCACAAAGTTTGGAAAATGACATGGTTTCCATCGACGCATGTGTGTGTGGGTGTGTTTGGGTGTGTTAGATTAAAGGCATTACTGCTAACAGTGCTCTCTGTGCGTTCCAGTTCCATGACCAAAATCTGTTTTTCGGTTCCACAGGATCAAACTGAAAAGTTTATTTACCCTTATTTATGCACAGATTGTCAAAGCCACAGGAAACCCAGCATTAGCAGCGTCAGTTAACAGTCCAGCACTAACAGCTGGAGCAGTGGATCTTCTGAAAAACAACCTCAACCTGCAGGAACACACACTCTGGAGCTCACTAGGACCATACTGGACATATCCACGGTACACAAAAACACACATATTCCAGATGATTGATGAGATTTAAAGGTTCGAACCAAACCAGAGTCCAACATAAAATATAAACTCACAAAATTCTGTCTGAACCGACTGTAGCCCACAAAATTCTGTCTGAACCGACTGTAGCCCACAAAATTCTGTCTGAACTCGACTGTAGCCCAACAAAATTCTGTCTGAACTCGACTGTAGCCCACAAAATTCTGTCTGAACTCGACCGTAGCCCAACAAAATTCTGTCTGAACTCGACTGTAGCCCACAAAATTCTGTCTGAACTCGACTGTAGCCCACAAAATTCTGTCTGAACTCGACTGTAGCCCACAAAATTCTGTCTGAACCGACTGTAGCCCACAAAATTCTGTCTGAACTCGACTGTAGCCCACAAAATTCTGTCTGAACCGACTGTAGCCCCACAAAATTCTGTCTGAACTCGACTGTAGCCCCACAAAATAATGTCTGAACCGACTGTAGCCCACAAAATTCTGTCTGAACCGACTGTAGCCCCACAAAATAATGTCTGAACCGACTGTAGCTCACAAAATTCTGTCTGAACCGACTGTAGCCCCACAAAATAATGTCTGAACCGACTGTAGCTCACAAAATTCTGTCTGAACCGACCGTAGCCCACAAAATTCTGTCTGAACCGACTGTAGCCCACAAAATTCTGTCTGAACCGACTGTAGCCCACAAAATTCTGTCTGAACCGACCGTAGCCCACAAAATTCTGTCTGAACCGACTGTAGCCCACAAAATTCTGTCTGAACCGACTGTAGCCCCACAAAATTCTGTCTGAACCGACTGTAGCCCACAAAATTCTGTCTGAACCGACCGTAGCCCACAAAATTCTGTCTGAACCGACCGTAGCCCACAAAATTCTGTCTGAACCGACCGTAGCCCACAAAATTCTGTCTGAACCGACTGTAGCCCACAAAATTCTGTCTGAACCGACTGTAGCCCACAAAATTCTGTCTGAACCGACTGTAGCCCAACAAAATTCTGTCTGAACTCGACTGTAGCCCACAAAATTCTGTCTGAACCGACTGTAGCCCACAAAATTCTGTCTGAACCGACTGTAGCCCAACAAAATTCTGTCTGAACCGACCGTAGCTCACAAAATTCTGTCTGAACCGACTGTAGCCCAACAAAATTCTGTCTGAACCGACTGTAGCCCAACAAAATTCTGTCTGAACCGACCGTAGCCCACAAAATTCTGTCTGAACCGACTGTAGCCCACAAAATTCTGTCTGAACCGACTGTAGCCCACAAAATTCTGTCTGAACTCGACTGTAGCCCACAAAATTCTGTCTGAACTCGACTGTAGCCCACAAAATTCTGTCTGAACCGACTGTAGCCCACAAAATTCTGTCTGAACCGACTGTAGCCCACAAAATTCTGTCTGAACCGACTGTAGCCCACAAAATTCTGTCTGAACTCGACTGTAGCCCACAAAATTCTGTCTAAACCGACTGTAGCCCACAAAATTCTGTCTGAACTCGACTGTAGCCCACAAAATTCTGTCTAAACCGACTGTAGCCCACAAAATTCTGTCTGAACCAACTGTAGTCCTGTTGTTTTACAAAACTGCGACGAAATAAAGCTCAACATTGTAAGGAACAGCTCCTGTTTAGTCACTCTTTAGCACTGGCCTCATCGAGGCCGACTACATACGTGACTCTAGTGTCCCAGATTAAAAACTTATAGGTAATTACATTTAATTAAAATAGGAAGAACTAATTATAATGGAGAGAGATTAAAGCAGAGACAAAGTGTGTTGAAACCCAAAGATTGTGAACAGCCTGAGTGAGAAATGACTCACTGAGTCAGTGTGTGTGTTTTGTTCAGGTCAGCATTACGTGGTCCGGTGGCTCCGTACTCTCCCGTATTTCTGGGTGGATGGAAACTTCCAGGGTCAGAGGTGGAGGGCTGGGTCGATCCGGTCGAGTCACAACATAGGAAGGACATTGAGAGGGAAAAACAGGAGGTAACCATGAAAACGACATGCCAAAGCTGACTCATGCATTACACAAGAGACACTGATCACCTTTATAAGGTTTCTGAGGTGTTTCTTGGTGATGTGCTCACTTCATTCACACACTGCCAAATGTTTGTAGACACCTGCTCCTCCAGCGTTTCTTCTGAAGTGAAGGATATTAATTGGGCACCTGATGAAGTAACAGCCTCTACCCTTCTGGGAAGGCTTTATACTAGATGTTGAACATTGCTGTGAGGGTTTGATTGAGCATTAGTGAGGTCAGGTACTGAAGTTGGATGGTCAGTTCTGGGTCACTCCAACCCATCCCAAAGGTATTGGATGGAGCTCCATCACTCCAGAGAACACAGCTCCACTGCTCCACAGCCCAATGCTGGGGGGCTTTATACCCCTCTAGACCACGCTTGGCACTGGACATGGAGACCTCATGTGTGGTTATTTCAGATCTTTATTCTATTGGTCAGTGCTTTTCCATTGAACTGTTTGAGTGCAGTGTATCAGCAATGGGTGACCTTAAAGTAACTGAATGTACTCATTAAAAAGGCTGTCTGGGTACTTTGGGACAGATTGTGTAACTAGTTAGACTTTCTATACACAAACTTTGGTAAAATGAAGAAACTCTATACACAGATTTAAACCATGTGATGTTTAATATCATGGACAGTTTGTGACAGAACAAAGAATTAATTTTATTTAATATTTTATTTTAATCAGCTACTTAATGCTGTATTTTCTCAGGAGTTTTAGAGTGGGCACTAGGGGGCACTGTCTCTCCCATACAGGTCACACTCGTTTTCCTTCTTATTTATGAATGCAGGTGCCAGTTTTGTGTAAAACATCAGAGCACTGACAGCAAAACACTGGACAAAGTGAAAGTGCTCGCTTTTTCACAATCACTGTATCACTGAATAATGATGTTTATCTCTCTCTCTCTCTCTCTGTCTCTCTCTCTCTCTCTCTGTCTCTCTCACTCTCTCTGTCTCTCTCTCTGTTTCTCTCTCTCTCTCTCTCTCTCTCTCTCTCTCTCTCTCTCTGTCTCTCTCTCTCTCTCTCTCTCTCTCTCTCTCCGTCTCTCTCACTCTCTCTGTCTCTCTCTCTGTTTCTCTCTCTCTGTCTCTCTCTCTCTCTCTCTCTCTCTCTCTCTCTCTCTGTCTCTCTCTCTCTCTCTCTCTCTGTCTCTCTCTCTCTCTCTCTCTCTCTCTCTCTCTCTCTCTCTCTCTAGCTCCAGAGTTCTCTCCAGCCTCCAGCGCCCACTGTTCCTGCAGATGAAACGTGAGTTTTACTGACCTGTGATATTATTACTCGTGTAAAGTTTATCAAACACAAACTGACTATAAGTGCGTTTTAGTTCGTCTGTCTCAACACTGCCAACAATGATATCTGAAATTGAAATGAAATTGAAATTGATAGGTCTTGGAGATATATCTAATATATCTAATATATTTAATATATCTAATATGTCTCATGTTGAGATTATTGTAAACTTATTATAAGATGACTTAACTTATTTCTAGAATTTCCTGTTACTTGTGTTGAGTAATTGTACAATAAAATAAAAATAATAAGAGAGTACAGTGATCTCGCTACATTGGCAACTCATTTTGCGTATTTTAAGAATTGTGCTGCCACTATAGTTCAATAATTTTACTGGACAAAATTACTGATAACAAGCAAAAAACATCTAGAAATAAGTTAAATAATCTCATAATATTCATTCACCATCTCAAAATGAGAAATATTTAGACTAGACTTCAGAGGATTTCTCTTCTTAAAGTATCAATTTTCTCCAGTGAAGTTTGCTTCTTTGGTTTTGTGCTGAAGCTATGAAGCTAATGTAGATATTAGCTTTTAGCCACTGTATGTTAAATAGCCATAAGATTAGTCGGGGTCATCTTGAAGCCTGAATCTTGTCCATGTTTATAGATCATGAAACACAAAATCAAGTCTATTAGAGATTATTGAACAGCACAGTTTGAGGAGAGTGGGTGATGACTGAAGCATGTATTTAGCACAGTGCTAATTGGAGGGGAATAAGCTTCCACTGCTTGTTGGATACAGTTAGCAACAGTTCTTCTGTTGTTGACACTAAAGAAGCCAATTTCAGCCACCAGGAATGTCTTCACTGATTGATTTGGTTTACATTTGTTCATATTTAGGCCAAAGTGCTGCTTCATGAATGTGAATAATATATAGTATTTTTTGAAGTAGCAGGATTTTGATTGAGTAGACTTTGTCACTCTATTAATGTGATGCAGTTTAGTTTTTGTCCAGTAGAGGGGAGTGTAGTATCACTGAACAGTGGACATTAGCACAGTTTAATTCTATCCACTGCTGCTGGTCAGTGAACAGAAACACCAGTTTATTTTTCTTCATTCTTTTTTCTTTTTTTCTTCATTGTTCCTCCTGCAGTGACGGTGGCGTCCCCCTCAAGGAGAGGCTGTATCGCTGCAGTTACGATTTTGTGGCTCGAAACAGCAGTGAGCTCTCAGTACTGCATGGAGAGACACTCGAGGTGAGTTCATAAAGGCTTTTTCACCCACCTGAGTGTTCAGGAACTCTTAGATGACCTGTTTCAGTGGGATTTAAGGCCAAATTCCCTGTTATTCATCTACATTGAGAAGAAGACGTATTTATCCTCACACACAGTGAGGAGGATGGTTGGAGAGGAGGATCATAGTTGGAGATTTATAGAAGATGGTAGCATCTCACGGTTACCAAGTCTACAAAACTACACTAAGACACCACCTTCATTCCAACAAACTACTCATGAGATGTGCCAGAAGCAAAGCTCTCACGTTTTCTCCAAACTGTGGCACGAAGCACACTATCCTCAGAATGTGATCGCACGCTATAGAATTAAGATATACATTCACTGGAACAGGAGCTCCAGCTCATCATCCCTCCTCCACCAAACTTTCCAGTGGTCACACTGCATTCGGGTAGGTAGCGTTCTCCTGGCATCCTCCAAATCCAGATTCGTCCATCAGACTGTCAGACTGTCAGTTCAGTCCTCTCTCTCTGTGTCTGAGCGTTTTCAGGTTGGCGTTGCTGCATGACTGACATCCTGCTTTTACCAGCATGTGATTGGCTGTTCCTGTTGGTGCCAACTACAAAAGGCCTTTGATATTAGTCAATGTGAAGCGGTTGTTTTTATTTGGCCTCGCAGTACTCCGCTCCCCTGGCTGCTCGCCAGTCGTCAGACCAGTTTTGTTAATTGTGATTTGCTGGCCTACAGGCGTACGTGGGTCAGTGAAAACCCTTTGTAAATTTTGGTATGTTCTTTGAAACAAAGGAAATGTAGGGGTGACCTGCCTTTTTTGTTTGACCTGTTGGACGTTGTTTGTCGGCAGTGTAGTAAGGGTAGTGTTTTTGTAATTTTCTTTTCTTTTTTTTGGTAGATTACTTAGCTAATGTTTTTTTTTTTAAGGATCTTTTGTTAACCGTTGCTCCGCCTGTTCTCTCCTGTTTTGTACCATAATACTTTATACTAACAATGTTTGCTCTCCGGTGTCGACCAGAGGAGGATGGGTTCCCCTTCTGAGTCTTGGTTACTCTCAGTGTTTCTTCCTGTTTCTCTTAGGGAGTTTTCCTTGCCACTGTCGCCACTGGCGACGCTCATGGGGGCTCAGACACAGATTTTTCTGTAAAGCTGCTTTGTGACAACACCTGTTGTAAAAAGCGCTGTATAAATAAACTTTGCTTGCTTGCTTGTTTGTTAGTTTAGGCCTTGGGCCTCCCTGAAGCTATGTTTCCTTTTTTTGTTGTTCCCTATACTCTTGCTTTACGTTTATATCATGTTTGATGGCTGGATAAAAGTGCAGAGCACCAAATAATTAGTTAAATCTGCGATTGACGCGTTTATTATTCTTAGCTATTAATTAGAAATTCCTCTTTGTTCTGGTCTGGCGACTGAGCAGGCAGACTCGCTTCCTCTGTGTTGCATCTTACCCCTAGGAGAAGTAACATCATGGAAACCCAGTGTTCTTGTGCTGACATTGCTTCCAGAACCATTTTGGATCTCAGTAGTGAGCACTGTAACTGAGGACAGGTGATAGGTCCATGCTTGGTGCTACAGCACTTGCCGGTCCCATTCTGTGAGCTGGTATGGTCAGTGGTTTCCACCCTGCTCCTCAGCGCCCCCCAGATGATCTAACCTTTCCCTCAACCCAAAGTGTTGCAAGTTGAGTTGGAACAAAAATGTGGACCTGAGGACCAAGTTGGGAACAACCATCCTGGATGTTCACCAAGACAAATTGCTTGTATTTGTAAGATACTTGGCGAAATGAAGTGATGCTGATTCTGATGTTTCACTTTCACAGTGATTGCGCTTGCAGTTAACAGGGCAGCCCTAATTGATCATTGATAGGTTTGTACTTTGGACTCATGAAGCAAACTTTTTTTCTCTCTGTTTCTCTCAGGTGATCGAGTCGTCTAAGCGATGGTGGAAATGTCGCAACAGGTTTAACGAGGTCGGTTTCGTGCCGTTTAACATTCTGGAGCCGGTGTCGCACATAGAGAGCCCAGTCAACAACAAACCAGCCAAGGTACACAAACACACACATTTAAGACTTATTCAGCTCTGCTACACACATCCCTGTCTGCTCCCTCTCACAGACTAACTGTGGTACAAAAGCACTGAGGGCCTGACGTACTGAGCCTTTTGCAGCAGGTCCAGGTTATGTATGGAAATGACACATGAGCCTAAACACTCAGTTTATGCATGGAAAAATGCAAAAGCACTTCATATATATGTATCTGAGGCAGGAGCACACAAAACATCACAGCTGATAACATAATGCAGTTAATTGCAGTTAATTCACTGAAGTCTGATGCAGGTCTTTCCCTGAATCTCCTCCAGCTTTTAAAAGCAGTAAATCTGCGTTATGGTTTTAAAAGACGTGTCGTTGACAGAATTCCTTTAACAACAGCAGCAGACACAGCAGCTAGACGGAGACAGGATTCTCAAACACGAGCTGAGAGAACATTTACAGTTAAAATAACACTGTTTAAAGTCTCAGGACTAGCAGGAAATCGTGAGTTCGATCGCTGGTGATGCTCCAGCTGTCTGTAGTTGTCCTCGCTCTTTCTGGGTGGGCGGGATGACCCTCCATCTCCCCCCTCATCACTCAGCGTGATGCTAGTCAGTGGAGGTGTCTGTTAGCTGACGTAACAGAACTGGCGGTTAGTGTTCTCCTCCGAGCGTGTTCAGCTGTGCAGTGACGTTGCGTTAGCAGCTGTTTGAAAAGATGCGGTGGAGCTTCACAGATCTCTGCATTAAATAAACTCTGCACTGTAAAAACTGTATAATTACCTTAAATCTAGTCAATATATCTAATATTCCTCCTGTTAAGATTGTTGCAAGCTTATTTCAAGAATATTTAACTTATTTCCAAACATTTTTTACTTGTTTTAGGTAATTTTATTAAATAAAATTATGTCACTATATTGGCAGATAATTTTGCTTGTTTTAAGAAATGAGCTTGATAATAATAAAAATACTTAAAACAGGTAAGAAAAATGTCTAGAAATAAGCTAAGTAATCTTATAATAAGTGCACAACCATCTTAAAATAAGAAATACCAGATGTATCTACTGGAAATATGATAATTTCACTTCACAAGATACTATTTTTTGCAGTGTGGTGGTATCGTGTGACTGGGGGAGTGGCATTAGATATGGCTAAATTTGGGTGAAAATTGGGAATAGAATTTAAAAGTCTCAGGGTCAGATGTATGTGTGAGATAACAGCACAGAATATTTGTGATATGGCCCCAATGTGCACTCACAGCCTGTGTTTTCTAAGCCGGAGTGAAACAACACCCCAGCAAATTGACTCGGTGGGAAGGAAACGCCATTTAACCCCTCTCTCTCCTCTTCACTGAACTGTTTTAACAGCTCTATTGTTTAATGACGCATTTTAAACCCCTATGCCTCACGGGTGAGAAGCTGGTGGGCGGGGCTATGCAGTTTGCATCCATAGCTGCTGTACCAGATGTACATCTAGTCCTGAGGGTTTGTGTAACACTGTGCAACTTCATCTATACTAACAGGCTCCGGCCCCTCCTCCTTTACCGAAGACGACATCCTTGGCTCCACCCAGCCCTCGTGCCGGGACCCCTGAAGCCAGATTGCTACCCCCACAACACCTGCCTGAAGACACAGAGAAAGGTACCCACACTTACCTCTGTGCAGTAACATGAAATAGACTGATGAACAGAGTACTCAGTAAATACAAGTGAATCAGCTTTAATGCAAATGAAATGACCCTGTTTAGCATATGTTAGTACATCACCAGTTAATGACCAGCTTACATAAAGAACCAGGTTCATATAGATTCATCCCCTAAGAACAGCTCAGCCAGTTTGCACTGAAGTCCCTGTAGTTACTGAATAATAAGCTTCAGTACGAAATAAACCTAAGATTTTAGGGGTTAAACAATAATTGAGAAGCTTAAACCAACCAGAGCTGTAGTGAACCTGACTGGAAGAGGACTTTTACCCTGACGCACAGTGAGGAGGATGGTTTAAGGGAAAACATGTCACCAAGGAGTACAATTAGAGATTTACAGAGGATGGTAGCATCTCATTGTTACCAAGTCTCCAAAGCTACATATATGCAGTAGTATGCAATGTTAGATAACTGGAGCTAACATTGCTTGCTAGCTAAGTCTGGTAAATACAGGGTCTCCCAAAAAAATTGACATCATTTGAGATGTGAGTATCTGAGTAACTACATGTCCTGGCAAACGAAATTAAATAGGCTTCTTGTTGAACAATACAAGATTTATTTATCAAAATTCGAACAAGAAGTTCAGAGGGATGTAGATTTGTGCTCAACTGTGGCTTGGGGATTTTCTTCCCCCCATATGGGAACATTATGCTTGTTGACTTTTCGTATGAAATGTGGCTTCATCACTGAAAACAACGCTTTTCGAACTCCTCATCTTCAAGTTTCTCCTGCATAGCGACACAGAATTGCTTGCGCTTTTCCCTGTCATCTGTCTTTAAGGCTTGAACGAGCTGCACCTCATAGGGTGGCATTCGCAAGCGTTTCCTTACGACACGCCAAAGTGCCGTACAAGGAATCTGGGTTTCCAGAGATGCTCTTCTAACAGACTTTCTGGGGCTTCGCACAAATGTTTCTCGAACCTGATTGATGGTATCTTCCGATACTGGTGGTCGTCCAGATCCCTTTGTCCTGCACAGACAGCCCTCCTCTTTGAATTGTTTGTGCCGTGTCCAAATCTGCTTTCTAGTTTTATTGAATTTTCTGGAAAATGCCGCTGCTCACTGTCGTTTGACTGTGTTCGAGCATATTCTAACACACTAAATCCCTTTTCATTTCTAGTGAACGCCGTTCTTCAACCTGAACAAACATTTTGTTAAAATTTGAGATCATTTGAGGGAGAATTGGCTGATATTAGACTACAAATTTATGTCAGTTTTTTTGGACATTCTGTATGACTGGCTAAAATAATTTTAATAGCTTATTTAAGTAAATGTACAATGTATTTTGGCCAATTGCATCTACTTAGATTTATTTATTTTGTTATTTATTTATTATTTTTATTTATTGAAGGAAGGAATGTTGGTCCTGTGTGAAACATCAATTGTTCATTTTAGTTATTTAATCAGTCAGTTTAGCATAATTTAGTTTATAACTACAGTCAATCAAACTAGATGCACCCTGGGGCTCCCAAGTGGCACATCCATCTAAGTTCTGTCTCTGTCATCAGGAGATCGCGGGTTCGATCCCTGGTGATGCTACAGCCGTCTGTGTCCGGGAGTCCAAGAGAGCACAGTTGTCCTCTCTCTCTGGGTGGGCAGGATGGCCCCCGTCTCCCCATCACTCAGTGTAATGCTAGTCAGTGCAGCCGTCTGTTAGCTGATGTAACAGAACTGGTGGTTAGCGTCTCCTCTGAGCACGTTCGGCTGTACAATGGCGTTGCTTGAGCGGTAGTTTGAAAAGATGCGGTGGAGCTTCACAGAACTCAGAGGAAGCCTGTGTTTGCTTTCGCCCTCCTAGAGCTGGTGGTATGGTGTGATTAGGGGAATTAGAACTAGTGGAATTCTCAAAAGTGGAATTGGAGACGACTAAATTGGGGAGAAAATTAGGGGAAAAATAAAATAATAAAAAAAATAGATGCACCCAAACTTGATTACTGACAGCCCTGTTAAATAGAACCTTTCCAGCAATATAAGAATAAAAGAAATTTCTGAAGAGAGAAGAAAGAAAGGCACTGAAACATAACAGCCTGGAAAAGATTACAAAGACATTTCTGAGGCTCTGGGACTCCAGCGAACCACAGTGAGAGCCTTTATCTCCAAATGGAGAAAACTCGGAACAGTCGTAAGTCTACCAAAAAGTGCCCAGCCTACAAAAACTCCTCCAACAGCAGAGCGACGACTCATCCAGGAAGTCACAAAAGATCTTAGACAGACATCCAAGGAACCGCAGGCCTCACTCACCTCAGATGAGGTCAGCATGAGACTGGGCAAAAATGGCATCCATGGGAGAGCAAAGAGGAAACAGATGAAAAACCCAAGAGGAACATAAAGGCTCATCTCACATTTGCCAAAACACCCTGATGAACCTTTTGGAATAATCTCCTGAGTCAAAAATTGAACCCTTTGGAAGACAGGAGTCTCGTTACATCCCTCATAAAGCTAAACCACCATTCCACAATAAGGACATCAGCCCAACAGTCAAACACGGTGGTGGTAGTGTGATGGTGTGGGGATGAATTCTGTGAACCATGAACTCTGATCTCCGCTAGAAAATACCAATGGAGACTCCTGAGGCAGGACCCTAAACAATCAGTTGATTGGAAGACCTCCAATGTTCTACAAAGAAGAGTTCCATCACAGCAATGTGAAAGACAGATCTGCAGTTATATGAAGTGCTTGGTTGCAGTCTTTGTTACTTAAGATGGCGCAACCCATTGTTAAGTTTAGGGGTGCAATTATATTTTCACATGCGTGATATAGGTGTTGCAGGACTTTTTTTTCCTTTACTAAATGAAATAATCATTTATAAACCTGTTTAATGTGTGGTAAGTGCTATATATAGGGAGAATATTAAGGGCCCTAAAACAGAGCCTTGTGGAACACCACATCATGCAATATTTCACTTAGTTTCTTTATCGCTCTCCTCTCTCTCTCTGTCTCTGGCTCCCTTCTCTCTTTCTCTTTCAGTGATGCAGGTGAATGATGAGCTGTTGAGGAGACTGACCAATGGTAAAGCTGCGTTATCTAAGCCGCTGGTCATCCATCGTTCGGTTGATACCGCCGTCCCACTGGACTATCGCTCACCTCCTGCTGAAGTTGAAGCTTGGCTGCGTGGGAAAGGATTTAGCGAACCGTGAGTTTCACACACACACACACACACACACACACACACACACAAACACACACACACACACACACACACACACACAAACACACACACACACACACACACACACACACAAACACACACACACACACACACACACACACACACAAACACACACACACACACACACAAACACATACCGCGACCCCATCTGGACTAAGCAGTTAAAGATGATGATGATGATTAAATCGTTAATCACAGTTATTTGTATGATAATGAATCGTCAGGTAAAGTGTAACGATCCTGGGGGGCCGACTGACCCTCTGCACAGACAGCGTAAACTCCTATTTCCACTGTTCCAGTCCTTAATGATGACAGAGTTGTTTACACTGTAATCCAAACTGACCGTTCTCTCTCTGTTCTCAGGACAGTACAGTGTCTCAGAGTGCTGACCGGAGCTCAGCTGTTCTCTCTGAATAAGGAGGAGCTACGTGCTGTTATTCCTGAAGAGGGCGCCAGAGTCTACAGCCAGCTCACTGTACAGAAAGCACTGCTGGAGGTACAATTTACACCTACACTTTAAAGTATCTCATAGCCAGAAATACTGATTTTTCATCAGCAGAAACTCCTTAAGTCTCCACAGTATCACGCAAAGTACGTTTGCAAAAGTTTGGGCACCCCTGGAAAAATCACACATTTTTGTTTCTAGGTGGAAACAAGTTACCACCACACTTAAACCAGACATATTTCTAATTTTGCAATGCACCGTTATTATTTATTTGCTGATTTCAACATACTAGTGACATATTTAACATACTGCCTCCAAATGTTTCTTGTAGCGTTTCTTGTAACAATGTTTCTGTTCTTGATTTTGGGGCTTCCTTTATTTCTTTGTACAGTGCTTCTAGCTCAGAAATAGTCCATCTTGAATTCACATGTTTGAGACTGTGAAGACTAATCCAAAATCTTAATCTTTTGTTTCTTGAAGTAGTTCAAGGTGGATTTTGGTGGATTTTTATGTATGTTTTGGATCATTCTTTTGTTGTAATGCCCATCATCTTTGCACGTTCAGTTACTTCACTCAATATGGAACAATAGCTTCCAGGATTTGTAGATATTTAGTAGAACCCTTTCTTGCCTCTATCCCCACAACATTTCCTGTTCCACTGGCTGCCACACAACCCCAAAGCTTAATAGATCCACCCCATGCTGAACAGAGAGCAAGGTGTACTTTTCATCAAATGCTGCCTCTTTTCTTCTCCAAAATAGTGGCCAAATAGTTTCATTATCACTTCATCAGTCCACAGCACTTGTTGACCACATGCCTCTGGTTTATCTCAGCATTGTGTTGCATGTCTGGGACATTGACTTTTGAGATGAGATCACAATTAAGGTTACTTTCAGATGACCTTGAATGTAGATGATGTTTGTGCAACAACACTGCACAGTGGATTGGTGCTTCACTATTCATGTGCTGGCCAAATCTTCCTGTAGGTCCTTGGCAGTGATGTGGGGGTTTTGCTTTGCATACCTGACCAGACCATGAACAGTGTTTTCAGAGAGTTTACTTGGTATTCCAGATCTTCCCTGCAACAGTTCCCTCAACGTCCATTTATTAATGACATTTCAAAGCGTGAAAACTGTAAACAAGACACATTTATATGCATTTTAGAACCTTTTATAAACCTCTCTTGCTATGTAAGAGTCAGTTATCTTTAGTTTCAGATCCTCAGTTAGCTGCATAGATGAGCCTTTGGCTGTTGAGTGCAAATCCTGATTAATCAATAAGATCTGACACCTTATAAGACATATTATATAAGTAACTACTTATGTTATGTTCAGTGAGCAACACCTGTGCCAGAGGAGCCAGAGCAGAAATATATCCTTATAAATCAGATGATGGTTCAGTTTCAGCATCTGTGACCCCCTAAACCTCAAATATTATAGTTTTTAAGGGAGCTCAAGTCTATTTTGTGGAGCTGAGCTCCTCCTGCACCCTGTAATGTGAACATTTGTGGGATCGCTGGTTTTGGTTGCTTGTAAAGAAAACAAATCTTGAATATGAGGCCGAGCCAAAGGTGATCTCTCTCTCTCTCTCTCTCTCAGGATGTGAAGAAGGCCTCAGAGTTGGAGGCTGTGATGGAGAAACAGAAGATGAAAGTGGATTTTAAGGCGGAGAGCGGAACACTCTAACACTCAGACACTCTGACACCCTGACACTCTGACACTCTGACACTCAGACACTCTGACACTCAGACACTCAGACACTCTAACACTCAGACACTCTGACACTCTGACACCCTGACACACTCACGCAGCTGTAATATTCATTTAGAATGGTGTACAGTGGAGTCCAGAAGTCCGAGACACATTATCGGCTTTTATGTGTTTCCTTTTTCATTTAAACCTGGATTAAAAACAAAAGAAAGTTTTAGAGTTCTGAAAAAACAAAGAAAGGTTATGGGAAGTAAAATAACGAAGAAATATTTCTCTTTCTCGGTCAACATTCAATTTTAATCAGATTTGTGACACTGACCATTTTTTGGAAACTTTTCCTACGAATCCTGCATATGGCATGCATAACACCTTTTAAAGCCATGAGGTTGTATAATTTAGGTAATTACACTTTTAGAAAAACGTTGAAGTCTTTATTAAGGGTTAATTAGTTAAGACAGTGGTTCTACAGAGAACCATGAACACTCAAAGCAGCATCTGCATGATTAACTGTTCTTTGCATGAGGAAAGTGTTTTTCAGATTGATGTGTTGTAGATGGTTCTATATAGAAACTTTTTGAAAAGGGTTCTATATATCACTATATATATATATATATATATATATATATATACGCTCTTGTTCTATGAAGAGTTCTTCATGTCACTATAACTACTTACAAGCAATTCTACAAGCTTATGCCAGGCAGATGTCATGTAGGCCATATAACTCCTTATGAAGCATTTCTAAAGCGCTATGAATACAGGATTCAGAGGGCTGCGGATTTTTCTCTTCCAGTGAAGCTCGTGTTCAGATGACTCTCAGGTGGATCTGATCTGCTGATCAGAGACTTTTACACAAACTTGTGGAGTCTACTAAGAAATCCTGAGATTCATGTTAAAATTTCAAATATTCTACTTTTCAGTCAAATTGTTTTGCTGATAATATCTTTAGTAACGAAAAGGTCTGTATTAAATTAGAAGAGACTGTAAATAGAGGCATCTTCTCTGCAGCTCTCTGCGTTTGGACTCCGCTGTATGTGATGTGGTGAAATGTTTATAATCTGTGCTGTGATGTATAACCTGTGGAGGCCTGTTCCAGTGTATTTAATGCTTTTACACACACACACACACACACACACACACACACACACACACACACACACACAAATCCAGTGCCATTCAAAAATTCTAAAATAACTATAAAGAATTCTTGAAATATTGTATTTTCTTCATTTGCTGTAAAACTCTTTATAAAGTTAATATATGTGTTAATATATGTGCAATATACAATAATGATGAATATTCAATAATAAACTGTATAAAAATACATTGAGTCTGACTGTTTCTGTTAAGAAGATATATTGGGGGTCATCACTGCACCATTACTTTACCCTGTCCATTTATTTATGGATCACGAGACAATGCAAACATGTAATCACTGACATGCATACTCACTTTACTGTATTCTACATCATAAAATCAAAACTGTATTACAACATATGGAATTACTCCAATCAGAAATATATGGGTCAAACAAACTGTAGTAATAACCCCAAGTTATATTAATCCTGTTTTATAAATTGCTTTGTAGAAGTAATTCCAGGTTATATTAATCCTGTGCTTTAAAACATACTGTGGAAATAATCCCAGGTTATATTAATCCCAAACTACAAAGTATACTGTGGAAATAATCCAAGATTATATTTGTCCCCAATTATAAAACATATTGTGGAAATAATCCCAGGTTATATTAATCCTGAGATATAAAACATACTGTGGAAATAATCCCAGGTTATATTAATCCTGAGATATAAAACATACTGTGGAAATAATCCCAGGTTATATTAATCCTGAGATATAAAACATACTGTAGAAATAATCCCAGGTCAGAATAATCCGGTGTGAATGGGCATGTCTGTATTCTCTGTGGTTCAAAATCAAGCTGATTTGTATGTCTGTTCTTCAAATGTACGTTAACAACTCCTACAAAAGTTAAACATGTAAAATGAGAATCGTGTGAATGTATGCAGTGATGTTTACTGTTGGCTGTAATGAAGATGCTAATGACAGAAATGTGCTGTCAGTTTGGCCCCGCCCAGTGTTAACACAGTCTGTAGCTCTGTCCATCCTGTGGTCCTTGTCTGTGGGTATCTGTGAGGACCATGAGGCTGCAGGGTGTCCTGTCTCAGTCAGAGTTCAGATGGGCACTCATCAGCACCTTGTATGCTCCCTCAGTGCACCTCTGACCAGGACCCTCACTCAAACATCCTGCAGATACAGGCAGAGTCACAGCCCTCCGACAAACAACACAGAGAAGAAGATACTCAGGTGTGAGTTATTAAAATGTATTTCTGTATCAGATTAAGTTGTCGCTGAGCTGCGAGTGTGACTTCTACTGAGTACGCATCAAATGTGCACTTTTAAACTGACTGACCTGAAGACTCTGCCCTAAACCTCTGCACACTGTAGGTGTCACTGAAGTGTGAAGGAGGAGTGCAGAGTTCAGGGGTTTGGGACAGGGCTGAGTTATTGACTCAGATTAATTCACCCAGCAGAGGGAGCCCACACACCACACACACTCGAACAGAGAGAGAGAGAGACGGAGAGAGAGAGAGACGGAGAGAGAGAGAGAGAGAGAGAGAGAGAGAGAGAGAGAGAGAGAGAGAGAGAGAGAGAGACGAGAGAGAGAGAGAGAGAGAGAGAGAGAGACAGAGAGAGAGAGAGACGGAGAGAGAGAGAGAGAGAGAGAGAGAGAGAGAGAGAGAGAGACAGACTTTGACTTTAAAACCCCTTTAATCAACCATTGTCCACAGCGTAAGAGTATCACAACCAACTCGAAATAAAATCACAAATAGAACAAAGAAGAAAAAAAAGCAAATAAAACAAAAACCAGCTCAGCGGAGCTGCAGAGATCAGTTCACACATTCAACACAAACCCACTGAGTTCATCAGGTTCACAAAGCAACCCCCCTCCCCCCCATTCAGCAAAAAAATAGTCCACATTGTCAATAAGAGTGTACTAGGTAAAATCAACAAGGAGCCTTTTCAAGATCAATCCTCTGACCATCAGTACTGGGTCAGTACCCCCACGGTTCTCTATTCTATTCCTCCTAGTACACCAGATCGCTAACTTAGCAGCACCATACAAAAAATTCAAAAGAACTACCATGTTTCTTTTTGAAACGGTGTACTTTGGACCATAAATAAATAAAACATTGTCAAAAAAGCCTAAAAACTTCAAACCCCATTCCTTAATTAAACCCATAATGGGGCCCAAGCGTGTACAGTGAAGAAAGACATGAAAAACTGTTTCTGACGTCCCACAGAAAGGACACCCATCTCCCACTAATGGATCAATCCGCGCCGCGTGCCTGTTTGTAGCTAAAATCCCGTGTACAATCCTCCATTGGAGGTCACCCACCCTCTTCTCGATGGGTCTTTTGTACAGGGACCGCCAGCTACCTTTCGGGGAAGAGCCAGCCTGAACAACCTCTGTCCATTTAGACTCTCGCACGTCTCTCAAGCTGTGAAAGTGCAGTACTTTAGTACATGCAATGTACAAAGCCCTCTTGGTGAGAGAGCTAAAGAGACCAAGAGTCAGGGTTCCCAAAGACAAGAGTTTCCCCTGACCCTCCTGCCAGTTTTGCATCTCCGAATCTCTCAAATCTATCTCCAGTTCAGGAAACACAGGCTCTTCACTCTGGCACTGGTCTACAGGGGTCATGTCCAGGTAGTCCCGCACAGGAGAAGACAGATCAGACTTCAGCCGATTCAACATCTGTAGCGCCAGTCGCACTGACCTGAAGCCACCCATCTCCGCCAGCTGTGCTGCTGACACCCAGTCCACACCTCTCCGTAAGTGGCGGACTTTGGAGATGCCTCTTTCCAGCAGGGCCACTCTCAGAGCCCCTGAAACCTGGCTCAGCGCTGGAAACACCGGGTTAAAAAACAGAGGCTCTTCAAAAATCCACATAGACGGTGTAGCACCACTGTCCCTAGAAAATGAGAAGAGCTGCCATGCCTCCACAGCAGCTGAGTAAAAAGCAGTCAGTCCACCTAAATCCACTGCTCTCAAAGAAAGAGAGAACAGGTGTCTGTCCAGGCCCAGTCTTCCAGCAGCCCTCAGGAGAGCACAGGCAACATCCATCCAGCTGTGACAGCCATGATACAGCAACCGCTGCACCGCCTGCAGACGCAGAACAGCCACTCTGGACCGAATGTCTATTAGTCCCTGTCCTCCCTCCTGCACAGGAAGATACAGGACTGCAGCTCTCAGCCAGTGCTGTCCATTCCAGAAAAAGCTTAACAGTTCCTTCTGAACATCGTGGATCAGTTGTCTTGGTGGATTAAGAACAGTGAGCTTGTGCCACAAAGCAGATGCAATAAGGTTGTTTGCGACCAGGACTCGACCCCTATAGGATAGCCGGGGTAGCATCCAAGACCATTTTGACAACCTGGCGAGAGAGAGACAGAGAGAGAGAGAAAGAGAGAGTACTTGTACAAATAAACAGAAGGTGTGAAAGCAGAGAGAGAGAAATAAACACTGCTCTCTAACAACCTGTAGACACTGTATAAATAAAGGATGGAGGAATGGAAGTGTGTATATATATATATATATATTTGGAGGCCACAAAGGGTGAAATACAATGAAACACTTACACATGGATTCTTCCAGAAAGCCTTTTCCTTTGTTCTGCTGAGCATGCTCTTATTTTGTAAAACTGTTATTTTGTAAAACTTCCTGTTACATAGAAATGAATTCTGGGTGCTGGGGTATGGAGGGTTGGGGTCAGCAGGGTGAGGTATGGAGGGTAGGGGTCAGAAGGATGGGGTATGGAGGGTAGGGGTCAGAAGGGTGGGGTATGGAGGGTAGGGGTCAGAAGGGTGGGGTATGGAGGGTAGGGGTCAGCAGGGTGGGTTATGAGGGTAGGGGTCAGAAGGGTGGGGTACGGAGGGTAGGGGTCAGAAGGGTGGGGTACGGAGGGTAGGGGTCAGAGAGGTGGGGTACGGAGGGTAGGGGTCAGAAGGGTGGGGTACGGAGGGTAGGGGTCAGAAGGGTGGTATATGGAGGATAGGGGTGTAAGAGATTTACATCTGTTCCAGTAGTTGCATTTTGTGTTTGGTCATGAGGCAATGTAGGTTAATGCATCCAGGCCTCTAGAGGGAGCTAGTTCATCTTAGTGTCTCTAGTATCCCATATAAGTGTGGCAAAGAAGAAGTTGAGCGGCATGGTGACTCCAACCAACAAACCTCTGTTGTTGTGGAGAAGATCCTGCTGTGCAACTTTCCTAGTCCTTTGTTTCAGGAACTTCTATTCCCTTTTCATTCAGTAAGGGTTGGATGTTTTTTTCTTTATCTTTGTGCTGGATACAAACATTGTGGTGAGACTTGTTTGGGGCTTATGCTAAAGCTAAGGTTTGTGTTAGCAGGCCACATTTTCAATTTTTCAGTTGTAAATTCTTTTGATAATACCTGTGTTTGCAGAAGGACTTTTTGGTGCCTGTTTGTGAACTGCTGGGAAGATTCAATATGTATGTGATGTGATGGACATTCTACTGTGGGATTAACCCATTATCACCCAGCTTCCACTCATCTCTGTTTCTCCAAAAAAGGACTGGTTTGACTTTTTTTTATAATACTTTGGGCTCTTCAGGAGGCCACAGGCCCACATGGACTCAAATTGATTCTTTTTTTTTCTCTTTTTGTATTTGTGTGTAGTGGGTGGAGGGTTAAATTGCTTGTGTCTGTGTAGAGGTGGGATTTGTATTCCATAGTCACCTGTTCATCTTTAAAATAACACCAGAAAAGGTACACCACCTTTGTTGTATTTCTTATTTGCTTTGACCATTCATTCAGCATAGTCCAAGATGTTCCCGTTCCCTGTGTTTTTATATAAACTCGGTAGGAAAAGGGTCCTGCTGGGTGTTATTGGGGTCAGAAGGATGGGGTATGGAGGGTTGGGGTCAGAAGGATGGGGTATGGAGGGTAGGGATCAGAAGGGTGGGGTAAGGAGGATAGGGATCAGAAGGGTGGGGTATGGAGGATAGGGATCAGAAGGGTGGGGTATGGAGGATAGGGATCAGAAGGGTGGGTATGGAGGATAGGGATCCGAAGGGTGGGGTATGGAGGGTAGGGTCAGAAGGATGTGTATGGAGGGTAGGGGTCAGAAAGGTGGGGTATGGAGGGTAGGGGTCAGAAGGATGGGGTATGGAGGGTAGGGGTCAGAAGGATGGTGTATTGAGGTAGGGGTCAGAAGGGTGGGGTATGGAGGGTAGGGGTCAGAAGGGTGGGGTATGGAGGGTAGGGGTCAGAAGGGTGGGGTATGGA